GCATAAGCTTTGCCGGGTAGGCTGAGGAGTGTGATCCCCCTGTAGTTGGAACACACCCTCTGGTCGTACTTCTTAAAGATAGGGACCACCACGCCGGTCTGCCACTCCAAAGGCACTACCCCTGATTTCCATGCAGTGTTGTAGAGGCGTGTAAGCCAGGACAGCCCCACCACATCCAGAGTCTTCAGATACCCTGGGTGGATATCATCCGCTCCCGGAGCTCCGCCACAGAGTTGTTTTACTACCTCAGCGACTCCTACCCCAGTGTTTGGACGGTGAACCTCCAGGTCCCCTGACTCTGTTTCCCCTTGGGAATGCATGACGGTAGGATTGAGGAGCTCCTCAAAGTATTCCTTCCACAGCCGGAGAATTGCCCCAGGTGACGTCAGCAACTCCCCACCCCATCCAGAACGGTATGGGCAAGTTGCTGGCTGCTGCCCCTGAGGCGCCGGACAGTTTGCCAGAACCCTTTTTGGAGCTGACCAAAAGTCTTCCTCCCTGGCCTCACCAAACTCCTCCCATGCCCGAGTTTTTGCCTCTGCAACTGCCCCAGCCGCAGACCGCTTGGCTAACCGGTACCGCTCAACTGATTCCAGAGACCCACAGGCCAACTATGACCTGTAGGCCTCCCTCTTCAGCCTGACGGCTCCCCTCACCTCTGGTGTCCACCACCGAGTTCGGGGATTACCACTACGACTGGCACCAGCGACCTTGCGGCCGCAGCTTGCAACAGCTGCTTCGACAATGGCAGAGCGGAACAAAGCCCATTCGGACTCAATGTCCCCCTCTGCCCCCGGGACGCAGTTGAAGCTCTATCTGAGGTGGGAGTTGAAAGCCAACCTGACGGGTTCTTCCAACAGGTGTTCCCAACAGACCCTCAGTATACGTTTGGGCCTGCCAGGTCTGCGCGGTGGCTTCCCCTGCCACCTGACCTAACTCACCACCAGGTAGTGATCAGTTGACAGCTCTGCACCTCTCTTCACCCGAGCGTCCAAAACATGCGGCCGCAGGTCAGCTGATATGACTACAAAGTCGATCATTGTCATTGCCCACGTGAGCTTTGAAATCTCCCAGCAGAACAATGGAGTCCCCAGTTGGGGCCCTGTCAAGCGTACGTCCTAGGGTCTCCAAAAAGGGTGGGTACTCTGAACTGTTATTCGGTGCATTAGCACAGACAGCAGTCAGGACCCGTTCTCTGACCTGGAGGCGCAGGTAAGCAACCCTTTCGTCCAACCGAGAAAACCCCAGTGTCCCCATGGCGAGCTTTGGGGCGAGCAAGAATCCCACCCCCGCTTTCCGCCTCTCACCCTGAGCAACTCCAGTGTGGAAGTGTCCAACCCCTCTCAAGGACTTGGGTTCCAGAACCAACGCTATGTGTAGAGGTGTGATAAGTACAGTATGATAAAAAATGTCATAGTAAAGTATGTTTAAAAAAATGACATAGTATAGTATGATCATAATGTCAGAGTATAGTATGATAACAAATGTCATAGTTGTTAGGATGAGTTTCTTTAGCCAGTCCTGTCAGCCTTGAGAGTGGTGGAGCTGTGTCACTCAAATACCTCAGATACTTCAGTGTAAGGTTGCTGGAGCCTGGGGCCTCCGACACCCATCCTCAACAAGGACCTTGTACCCATGTTTTACATCACACAGGTCCCCAAAATATGTTCTGTCATGGTATTTCCTTCTATGGACCCTCCATATGTTCACCTAAAGCTCCTTAAAATATGTTGTTCTTTGTTCTTACCGTACATGGATTTTCATTAAGGTCAACTACATGTCAGCAGTATGTTTAGGAACGTGGACGACTATATATACTTGAACGGTCTCAGACCAATCTTTGTTATGCTTCTGTTATGCTTCTGTTACACTTTGTTAAGCTTTGTTACACTTGTGACATGATGAATCTGGAACCTAGATCTGTAACCAGTAAAGCTTGTCAAAATGATCATTTGTGTGGACCCTCCATTTTTATAAGGTGTGAACATGGGCTAGGAATCCTTACAATAGTATGGTATGTTAAAAAATGTCATAGTATTGTATGATAAAAAATGTCATAGTATAGTATGATAAAGAATTTCAAAGTACTGTATGATAAAAAAAAAGTCATGGTAAAGTATGTTTAAAAAAAATGTCATAGTATAGTATGATCATAATGTCATAGTATAGTATGATAAAAAATTTCACAGTATAGTATGATAAAGAATGTCATAGTAAAGTATGATAATAAATGTCATAATATAATATGTTTAAAAAAATGTCATAGTATAGTATGTAAAGAAATGTCATAGTATAGAATGTTAATTTTTTTTTACAGTATTATATGATAAAAAATGTCATATAATAGTATGCTTTAAAAATGTCAAAGTATTGTATGACCAAAAATTTCACAGTTAAGTATGATTTAAAATGTCATGATAAAGTATGTTAAGAAAATGTCATAGTATAGTATGACAAAAAAGTCATAGTAAAGCATGCAAAAAAAATGTTGTAGTATAGTATGATCATAATGTCAGAGTAAAGTATGTTGAAAAATGTCTGAGTACTGTTTGTTAAAAAATCTTATAGTATATAAGGATAAAAATGTTGAAATTTAGGGCTCTATCTTTGTGCCTGCCTAATAACATCGCCTTTAAAACCGCCACCAGCAAGGCGTATTACAATTTTCTATAGTAGTCAAAGAGATCAGGAGATGTCTGAAGACAGCAATAACACGATGGCGACAGAAGGCAGCCCCTCAAGGAGTCACTGTAAGCGCTGCAGAGGGTGTCCTTCACACTCTCAAGCACAGATGGATTTGGTGTGTGTAATGTTGGACCCACTGGTAAGACAAACACCCTTTTCCACAAACAGAGACACTCACATAAAGTTGCAAATATTCAAACCTCACGTGACAAAGGTGGGTTGTGCACACAGATCACAACATAAATTCCAGTAATGGCATTAAAATCGGGACCACCTGTGCGTAAATGGCGCATCGAGCTCTGTGGCCTGGTTCTTTCTAGTAGGGTCTGTTAACTTGAAAAAATTGCCAAATCGTTACGCGGTGGATAAAAGCACCAAATTTGGTACACACATTCTTTAGGGTGTATCTCATCATCTCAGAAGGGGTGCCCTAAAATTCGGACCCATTAAATGCCTTTTAAAGGGGAAAATCCAAAATGGCAGCCTTTATAGATGTTGGCATATAAAATAAAATTGACTCACAAAACCGAATATTACAATATTCGTATGTGGGCCTGACTCCAGATTGAATATTTACAGAATCTTAATGATGTGAGAATCAGATAAACAGGTAATTTTGAGTGAAAGTTTCTTTTCTTTTCTTTTTTTTGTTCAAATTTTCGAAGTAAATAACTCATCTGATCACAAAAATAAATCATCTGGTCAGCCATGCCACCGCTGCAGCAGCAGGACGGAGAAAGGACACAGAGACACGTCAGGTGTTGTGCCATAGAATGCACCCCTGCCTTAGAATGCAGAGCGCGGTTGAAAGTACACAACAAGGTGAAATAATCCAAGTTTTCCTCACTGTTGGACTGATTCTAAAGCATATGTCTTTGATGATTTCATTCAGGCTATTCAGATATGCCGAAAACAATAGCCCTCTGATTCTGAATATTTGCTGCCCCAAAATTATAATATTCTCTACCTTAACAGTTTACTGTACAGTTAATATACCCAAGTGCACCGCTGTAGGTGCATTTTTTAAATACCTAAAAACAGAATGAAAGTTTGCTGCTCCATTTGACATGTTGTCATGATCCAATACTCGTGTTCATTTTCTTCCACTTTAAGAAGCTAATGAGTGGATGGGATGCAGGGGTGCATTTTATGGCGGGGGTGCATTCTACGGCATAACACCTATCGAGCTGCGGGAGAAAGGAGGAGGATAAGCGGGGAGACAAATTAAATATCTCGTTAACTTCATCATGTGTGACTGTTTACAGGATATTTAATTCAATGCGGTTTCAGCTGTCTTAATTCGGTCAGGTTAAGTGTCCAAAGGCGTGCCAAACGTGCTCATCAGATAAGATATAGATCAGAATATATCGATATAGATCCAAATGTATGTGCTGACTCAGAATATTGGTTGTTGATGATTATTTATTGCACTGAAATGTGCTTGACACTGTGGACACCTGCCGATGAGGCATCGATGATGTATGCTGATACGCCGCCGGTCTACCAAAATACCACTAGACCAGCTGCGCTCTTGCGCTGAAAGCTGACCAGGTTTGAACTGGCAAGCTTTCAGCGCACTTTTCAGGCCACTGGCAAGCATGAAAATGTCACTGCAGCAGCTGATTCTGTCGAAAATAGAGCCCAGTATGTTAAAAAAGATGTCATATGTATGATAGAAAAGTCATAAAATTGTATGATAAAAAATGTCAGTGTAGTTTGTTGCAAAATGTCATAATATAGTATGATAAAAAAATGTCAGTCTATTATGATTAAAAAATGTCAGTATAGTATGATAAAAAATGTCATAGTATAGTTTCGTAAAAAATGTCATAGTAAAGTATGATAAAAAATGCAATAGTATAGTATGTTACAAAAAATGTCATAGTATAGTATGATAAAAATTGTCATAGTATAGTATGTTAAAGAATGTAAAGTAGTAAAGTATGATAAAAAAAAAAAATTCCTACACTTTCAACAGGGCCCTCACCTTCTGCTTTCAGCATGAGCTCAGGCCCTAATGAAATCACTTTTTTTTTCTAAAAATGTTTAAAATCAGATTTTTACTTCAAACTATAGAGAGCTGATCTTGTGTAAAAACCTCATAGAAAAAAAACAAGTTAGAGGTGATTTGGCAGCACCTGGTGGCGGTCAGAGAAACTACAGCTTTACATAAGCAGACAGACAGACAGACAGACAGACGTCACTGAATGTTTAAAATGCTTTTATTGGTGAATGAAACAGAAAGTGTACTTTGAAATCAAACAATCTGAAAACAGGAAACTGTGATGTCATATGGAAGTGATAATGTCATCAGTTCAACTGTAGGCATCTTTCTCTGTCTGTGATTGGCTGGAGGGAACAGCCACAGGGAGGTCAAGGGTCAGTACAGGTTGAACAGGCTCCGCGCCCAAGTTACCTGAAGGAAGAGGAGTCAGTGATGATTAATAAGAGACATGAAAACTTCATTTACACAGATATTAACATAATCAGTTCATTTAAACAGATAACATAATCACTTCATTTATACAGATAATAACATAGTCACTTCATTTAAACAGATAATAACATAATCACTTCATTTAAACAGATAACAATCACTTCATTTACAAAGATAATAACATAATCACTTCATTTAAACAGATAATAACATCATCACTTTATTTAAACAGATAATAACAAAATCACTTCATTTAAACAGATAATAAAATCACTTCATTACACAGATAATAACAGAATCACTTTATTTAAACAAATAACATAATCACTTCATTTACACAGCACCTTTTGTTTAAAACAAAAACACAAATTTATTAATATTTCTCAAAGCTCTAAATCTAAAAGCTGCTCCACCTGAACTGTTGTTTAAAACTCTGGAAACTCCTGAAAGAAAGGAACGATGGGGATATGAGAAGTGCTGACTTATGGACAGCTGAGACTTAAAGCCCAGGAAAGAGAGAGCTGCAGAAATCAGAGTGATGATAACAGCATGTAGAGATGTTTCTGCTGTCTGGGTTCATTGTGATCTGATTTTGGGATTAAAAAATAGTAATTTTGCAGCCTTGATAACCTGTCTGATAAATAAAGATCACAGATTAACTTCACTCCAAAATCTGTGACATGAGGTTGACCTTTGAAGGCTGGACTGAAATAAACTGATTCACATCTTTGCTGCTCAGTTTTTGGTCTGACAAGAAGAATTTAGTTATTTTTATTTGTCTGATTGAAAGCGGCCTAATAAACTGCCCTGAGGAACACCATGGGCTCTATTTTCGTGCCTCGCCGGAGACGTGCCGCAGGCGCGGCATAAGTGAGGTCTGCCGCGCCGACAAGGCGTTCCCAAGCACAATTTGGTATTTTGGTGAGAGGCGCAACCCGGCGTAAGTCGTAGCAAGGGAGGAGAGAGGACGTGGAGTGGGTTTAACACAGCCGCGACCTGTATTGACCAATAACATCAGCTCCTCTCCTCGCCTTTAAATCCGCCACCAGCAAGGCGTATTACTATTTTCGTGAAGTAGTCAAAGAGATCAAGAGATGTCTGAAGACAGTAATGCCACACGATGGCGACAGAAGGCAGCTTCTCAACAAGTGTCACTGCAGAGGGTGTCCTCCACACTCTCTCATATGAGCACAGATGGATTTGGTATGTGTAATGTTGGACCCACAAGTAAGACAAACACCCTTTTCCACAAATAAAGACAATCACATCAAGACCAGCTGCGTTTCGCCTGCGCTGAAAGCTGACCAGGTTTAATCTGCGAGCTTTCAGTGCACTTTATACGCCGGTGCCGAGCACGAAAATGTCACTGCGGCAGCTGATTCTGTCGACACCTCCCCCTGCCACGCCACCATGCCCAGCTTGGCGGATCCCGGTGCGCCTCAGTTCACGAAAATAACAAACTGGCTGTACGCCGGGCTCCGCCAGACGAAAATACAACTGCGCGGGGTCCGCCACCCTCCTCCGCCTCACCGGCGTACACGAAAATAGAGCCCCATATCTAAAGTCAGACACTGATGACACAGAATCACAATCACAGTTTCTACTCGACAAGTTCATCCTTGTTTCTGAGAAACCAAACTGTTAGCTGTAGGGGAAAATATAGACAATAGATTTGAGCAAAGAAAGTCTGCGCAATAGAGCAGACTTAGTGGCCTGTTTTTGCAGTTTGTTGCAAAAACATGATGTAGGATATGGCCAGGGAGGTCATGTCGACCTGAAGTCGTCACACATGGCAAAACATGTTAACAGAAAAAGTCATGTTGTTGGCTCTCAGACACCAATGTGAAGTACACTTATAGGAAGAAAAGAACATCGACTGATGTCATTGGACTGTGTAAATTGTTTGGGATTATTTGCCAACTTGACTCTGTCTTCGAGTAGTTCATTTTTGCACCTTTGCATCTATGAAATCTACAATATAAGTGGCGAGCCAGCCACTTATATTGTATTTAGGTTTTCTTAGAATTTAGGTTTTCTAAACCGTATCTAAAGTCAGACACTGATGACACAGAATCACAATTACAGTTTCTACTCGACAATTTCATCCAAGTTCCTGAGAAACTAAACTGTTGTTTAACGAATATTCTTCAGTCAAACCAAGCTAAAGCAGCGCTGCCACGTCATTGGATCATTAACACCCTTTAAAATGCTGTTCCAGTGCTCCCATTGGATCTGATGCTGGACTGGGATTTATCCAGTCTGTTGTTAGAGTTAAGATCAAAAACAACCTTCTCAAACAGGTCACAGAGAAAAAGAAGGTCGAGTTTTAATCCAGTGAAACATAAAAATCAGATTAAAGTTCACTTAAAGTCCCACTCCGATCGTTTTTATGTTTACTACTTGAAGTGTTTTCAGTGGTCTTTTAACTGTGATTACGAGGTTTTTAGCCAAAATCGCATTTCTTGTGTCATTTTTAAGGACTTTTCTTCTGCAGAGCTCCAATAGCTCATTAATAATTTGCCTCTAAGTCCTGAGCGAAGACACACTAGCTTGTAGCCTAACATTGCCGGTGTCGTAGAAGAAGCAGGTAACATCAGATTATTCAGCTCTCGGACACTAATGTCTTAAGCGACATGATGAAAGTTAATATTATAATAAGCTTTCTTACGAGCAATAAAATCTTCTAATGCACACACTTGTTCCGTGATCATCGTCTCTATTACTCAGAGTGTGACCTGCATAGCAAGGCTCTGGGGGCGGAGCTTGGATTTGTGATGTAGGAAATCTTACTGAATCTTATCCTGCTGTTTGTGTCTGCCAGAGATTCACAGTGATCTAGATAAGGAATACTCAGAAATGTGATTTTACACTTATTTTCTCATGATTCGTCCTGTAGCATCAGAAAAATGATAAGAACTCTTGTGGTCTCTCACCGCTCAGACCACTCAGTCTGGTTCCAAGGTTATTCCAGAACGAACACGCCTTCTGACTCAGACCCTGCTGATGCTGGAGGGTGGGGCTAAGCTGCAGGTAGGTAGGAGGGGCTTCAGATGACAGGACCTGCTGCCAGCGAGGGAGAGCTGACTCCGCCCACACAGGTGATGGGTTCGGGTTCCTGCGGTAAAAAAACACCAACATGTTGAATTTAACATGGCTGTTTAATTTGTCAGCTGACTATTTGATGGTTATCACCGAATTATTGATCAATTAATTAGAGGTCATTTAGAGGTTATTCAAAGGTCATTTAAAGATAATTTAGAGGTCATTTTTAGTCTGACCCTGAGCGGATGAAGCTGGAGACGTAGCTCATGACAGCCAGAGAGAGACGGCGGTCAGAAGAGGTGAAACGCTGAGAGCTGATTGAATGATGAGGAATCCCAAACGCCAACTGAACGTCCAGAGGAACTGACACGTCAGCCCTGCAGACAGTGAGAAATCAATAATCAATATTCAGAAATGATGAGAATGAAAAAAACATAACACTCTTCACCTGTTAGTGACAGAAGACTTTAGAACATCGATTGAACATAAGGTCTAAAAAAACCCATAAAGATTTATGTCGATAACCTCCGAATGTGAACACGCTAGACCAGTTTTAGCTGAGTCATCACGTTAAGTCAAATTGATTCGTTTTCATGGCAGAAAACGGATCAGTTTTTCTTTTCTCCTCTAATGTGAATTTCAAACATAGATAACTTCCTGCGAAGAGTCCACATGATCCAGGAAATAGTCAGTACCTGTTGCTGGCGCTGGTGGATGGTAGGTGGTACAAAAAGACGTTAGCTTTACTGTTAGCCCAGTGGCTCGCCATCTTCAGACTGGGACAGATGATGAACAGATCTCTGAATAAAAGCCATTTAAAATTGTTAATACAGCTCTTTTTTCAGGTCACAGTTAGTTTTCATCTCTGTTTTTAACCTGCACATGATTTTATTGAACTTCCTTTACCTAAAAAACATAAAACAGCTTCATTTAAAGGGACATTTCACTTTGTTGAGTGTAAATTTTTCTCTCACTTTTTAAAACAAATTTTACAAAATATTTGTAAACTTTGTCTCATTTATTGTGGCTGTGCAAGTTAAGTATCATTGCTAAAACCAAAAGTAAAACATTAAATCCAAATGTAAAATTAATAATAGATGTATCTATCAACGAAATGTTGTAGAATTTACACCCAAATGGAAAAGTTTCATATTTGAAAAGGAAACAAAACATAATATTTAGAACAAAGAGTAACATTTCAATGTTAATGTTAAATATTGAGTTAAGTTTTAAACAAAGGCTAAAGATAAAAATGTATTGATCATATTGTATAACAGGGGTTCTCAATTAGAAATGTAAAAGGTCCATAAAATACATTTTGAGGAAGTCATAGGTCCACAGCGCATGCATGGTGGCAAAAAAAATTGGCTTTTTTTTTTTTTTTACCTTTTTTTAATGTTTTTATTTAGTTTTAGGCTGGGTGTACTGTACTTTAATAATCAGGAGTTATTGGAGGGCACAAAAACATTCATTTTCAGCATCACACTGATATTCTTTCTTGCTTAGTATTACTCAATAAAGTAAAATAAGCTTTTTATTTTATCTGTTTGTAGCTCAGATTTTGGGGGGCAATCTCTATCAAAATTGCTTCCCATAATGGCATTTTATGTTTTCACTTATCAGAGCAACTGTGCTTTGCACAAAAGACACATTGGCTTTATGCTTGAAGGAGGTAAGATAATCATATGTCGGTCCATTCGTCAGTGAATCAGTGATTTTCAGTGTCCGTCTTTCTCTGATTTGCCGTTTTGATGCCGGGTGCTGGACGTGAGCAACGGTCCTGCTGCAAAGACATTACTGCTGCCTGCGCCGTGCAGAGAAGACAGACTGAAGGAGGAAGATGTGTGACTGCCGGTTTGTGTAGTTATCAGCCAATCAGCGCATCGTTGTCATGGGAACGGCAGCCCATAATGCAAGTGTGAGCACGCGCACAGTCACACACACACACACGCTCTCTCTCTCTCGGCCAGTCTAACCTCGCGTCAGTCAGTCAGAGAGAGTGCCGTGCCGTGTTGTTGATTTTTTTTCTTTTGCTCTGGGTCCACAAAGAGGTAGTCCCCGGTCCGGATGTGGACCGCGGTCCGCCTATTGCGTACCCTGGTTGTTTAATGTTACACCTCGATGCCTATTCTTAATATTGATTGTAAGCCCAAATGTCAACAATTAAAACATAAAATATAGATAAAAATGTTGATGTTTTGGAATGATCTAAATGATCGATATATATGTTAAATTAAAATCTGAAATTTCAATGTTTATTAAAGCAAAAAGATGAATACAAAACCGAAATTTAAAAGTCAAATCTTGATGTTAAATATTGACCAAAGATTACAGATTATGTAGCAATCAAGACAACCCTGTATGTGAAACTCACACATTCCTCGCAGGAAAGTTTTCTTATCTGGTCCCAGGACACAGGATATAAATCTTTCCAGACTTGTTTGCACTTTCAGGTTACCTAACTCACCCGACCGGAGGTTGACCAAACCTCTGACTCTTCATGATTGGTCAATCCGGAGGACAGAGACAGAGTTTTTATTACCTTTCAAACTGACTCCATCACTGACCATCTAAATAAACATTACAACTCAACCCAGATCTCCCATTTGAGATTTACCGTCTTAAAGTGTGTGAACATACGGACCCTAAGATAAGCTCTGAGGAGCAGGACACTGACCTCCAGACCTCGGTCGTAAAACCCTGCTCAACCATGTTCTGATAAAAAACTGCATTCCTTTGGTGAAAGAATACAAATGACTGATCATGACATCTTATGCATTCAGCAATGTATTTGTGTTAAAATGAGATGTTTCTCATTTTTCTATGTGCTCCAGGAGCCAAGTTATCACTCTGACAGAATAAATCCTTATTCTTAAGTTTCTTTAGACCAACAGCTTTTCAGACTGTTTCATGAACTTTTAAGAGTTAAATTTATTGACTATGAATCAAAACTTTACTCTAAGTAACAGAAATGGTTTAGAAATGTTTGGTTTATATTTTAGTTGTTTATTTAGTATTTTTAACCATTAGGTGGTTATAATGTCATTGAATATTCTGAATGTAAGTATTTAGAATCCATTATTAATCATGATGACGTTCATTCACATGTGTTTACTCTTTTGTTGTTCACAGTTTCTATGTGTTACTATCTGTTTCATTTCAGAGTAATTTAGCATGTTTAGAGTGATACTTAAAACATAATGAAAAATTTTGATGTGATCCTACATTTCTTTATATGTGTTTAGTATCAAATTATTTATCATGAAACCAAGCATTCAATGATATTAATCATAGTGAGTGGGTATGAGATCTGACTCTTTTACCAGCCAAAAGTATAAGTTAGATCAAATAATCAGAGATTCGAGGTCTCCTCTGCAGCTGGAGACCCCACGACCCCTCCTCTTTCTCCTCACACACACAAGCCAGAGACACTCCCAGTGTGAGAAGATAAAACCAGTGAAGTGGGGTTGCTCACTCTCTTGTTGCCCTTATTCTCTTCTTCACTCACTGTCCACACCTTTCTGTGTTCCTCTTCTACGTTTACTCTTAGCACTTTTTCTTAGTCTTCTAAGTTTTACGCCATGGGTTGATTCACGTTGATTTTTTTTTAACATCGTCTTAGTTCAAGTTTTGAAACTTCAACTTTTTGTGCGCATAGCAATTCAAGATTAAACCTTTAATTGATTTTTCTTTAATTTCGAGAAGCCATTTTTGAAAGTTTCCACTGGTCATTGAGCCTCTTTTTCCTGAGTTATCTGCGTGATTTCAAAGTCACCTCTGAACGCAACCCAGCAGGCCCAGGTCATCCTCTGTGCCAGAGTTTTTGAGTGAGACCAAAGAAGCATCCAAATGAGCATCCACAGGATCCACAGGCGCCGGCTTTGCTTTGGGCCCGAGTGCTGCAACTCCTGGCCCATCCTTCGGCTGACTTCAGTCATCTTCTGAGCTGAACCGCTCGAACCGCCGGTAGCCCCGGACCTTCGGAACCTGCTCCATCTTCTCCAAGGATCAGTCTCACTTAAGTATGCAAACCTCCAGAGCTCCAAAGAGGGCGGATGCTGTCTCATGCAGTCGTAACTCAGATATCCACTTATTCTGGTAATCTTAGATTCCTCCAAATCCACATCCAAATTTATCTCGACACCAAAGTTAGTGTAGGTTAATATGTTAGAGCATATTCACTCACTATCATTAACTTTGGTGCTCCTAGCCTGACTTAGAATCTTTATTTATTCACCTATTATTATTTATCCTCATTATCTTATCATCATTTATTGCACGTATGTTGTACCATCATTTATCCTGTAATAAACAGATCATTATTTTTCTAAGTTCTGGTCTGTTAGTGTTCTTCAGAAGTGGAGTCCCTGAAATGAGAATTTCAGCTTAAGATATGAGATTGATTAATTAAAGATTGACTTGATGTTTGATTTCTGAATAAAACTTTAGTTTTTCTTTATTTTCCCACCATTAAGGGTGGGTGGTGCCCCTTTCAATGAGTGCATAAATGTCATAATTTGAGATTATTAATCTTCATTTGTTATAAATTCAAATCGCCACAATTGTATGTTGAATGATGAATGAAATGGTTAGAAATGGATTGAAATTGAAAATCTTCAGTAAAGATGGACAAAATTTAAAACATAGACCAGAATATATAATAAAGGTGAAAAATGTTGACTATTGATCCAAATTCTTAATGCTGAATCTGTTTGCTAAATCCAAATATTCAGTATTAAATTTGAATATTAAATCCAAGTGTAAAATATTTAAACTTTACACAAAATTTCAATGTGTTGTATTAAAATGTTAAGTATAGAAGAAAAAGTTTTATTTAAAATCTTAAAAACTGATTTAACTGTTATAACTATGATTTAAGTATAAATAATTAATCTGAATGCTAAACCTTGATATAGATTAAAATGTTAAATTTAGCTTAAATCAAAATGTGAATAAATATAAAATTTTCAGTGTTACAAAACCTTTTTGATGTCCATCAAAATATAAAATATCACTCTGAATTTTAGGTTTTTAATTATAATTGTCAAACGTAGTTCTAACTTTCAAATGTTTGATTTTAATGATGGATAGAAAAGTTAACTAAAAGTGGAAAAATTCAATGATGTGACTGATGGACCTTAAAGTACACTTAAGTAAATTTTTACTGAGTTCAGCAGAAATACTTTAATTAACTCTTCCTGAGTCAGTCACTGATGGTCCCACTCCTTACTTAATATGATCATAATTTTCATAATCATTATAATGATCATATTTATTTTTATAATTATTTTTATTATCACTTTTCTTCTTTTTATTATTAGAATTATTGTATTATCTTTATTATTGTTATTGTCATTATTATAATGACTATTGTTGTCGTTGTTGTTCTTTTGTTTTTGTTACTTCAGTGTTTTATTCCTAAATAATTCAGTTTTAGTTTAAAAAAAAAACAAACTCTAAAATAAACTTGAGTGTCTCAGAGTGTCGGTAACTCCTGCCGTGTTTCAGGCTCTCACCTGGTGGCGTTGTTGAGCGCTCTGGAGAACAAGCTGTATCCAGCAGCTGAGGGACTGTGATCCAGAGAGTAGAACCAGGACGCTGCCTCCTTCAGCAGCTCACTTCCTGTCACCCCGCCCAGCGAGCGACTCAAAGCTTCATAAAACGCTGTCTTACCATCTGCCCGGCCCTGGAGCGCCTCGAAGTCCTGAACTCACAGAGACGGACGAAGAAGAATAAGAAGGAGGTCCAGAAGAGAAAATGACTCCAACAAACAATAACAGCGACATCAAGAGACTTCTGACCTTTATCCTGCGTGCACGGCTTATCAGACCGTCCTGCTCCGAAGTTCCCAACAGCAGGTCAACGCCACGGAAAGACGAGTTAGTGACTGACTGACGGACTGGAGACCAGGCCTGGAATGGACCGCTGACCGCCAACAGCTGCACACACACACGCACACACACACACACACACACACACAAACACAGGTGAGCCTAGGTCGCCTCTCTTAGATTCAGTTTTCAGGTGTAGATCTCCACCTTGGTCTGAGCAGCGTTGAGCATGTGCACAGGTGTTGATCTCAGGCAGGTGATCATCTCATCATCGTCAGCGGGGTCAGAGGTCACACAGCCCAGCTTTTTGGCCAGCTCGAGCGCCTGCCATCTAGAGGTGGGCAGAGTCTGAAGCAGCGATGGTGAAAATGCAGAGCCACCCTGTGGGAGGAAAACGTGAAAAGATCAAAGATGGAGGGCGAGGGTTCGAGTGGAGGTCTGAGAGCAGAGTCTGGTTTTCGGGGTCCTGATGGTCCAAATGTTTTCATGGGGGAATGAGTCAGAACCGCATGAGTCAGGTTTCTCAGCAGGACTCTTCTGATGATGATGATGATGAAGATCAGTTTCTCTCACCATCAGTAACATCCTCTGAAACAGAGAAGATGAGGAGAAGGAGGAGGAGAGGAGGAGATGAAGGCTGCTGATGTCAGCTCCACGTCGCTCCGCCCCCACCGTCACTCTCATGTTGTCCCCGCCTACCAGAGGGATGTGGGCGTTAACCCAGCGCAGCACCGCCTCCTGGTCTGACAGACCGTAGTTACCATGGAGACCAGAGGAACCTGCATACAGAGCAAGAACTTTGAGCGGCTGTTTGTGTGTACGATTGTGTGAATATCACCTGGAGATCACCTGTATTCAGGAACCCCAACGCCGCTGTTCGGTAACTCGCTGTTACCACGACGATATTCCCCACAGCAGCGAGGGCAGAGCCATCCAACAGTCCTGGGCTCTGATTGGCCGGAGGGTTAAAGAAGAATACCAGTACTGGGACACGCCCCCTCTGTTAATTAATTACAGGAACACACACATGAAAATACACACACACATAAGCACACACACGATCACACACACACACACACACACACACACACATGAACACACACACACACAAACACACATGAACACACAGGAACACATACATGAACACACACATAAGTTTATTATAAATTCAGATGATTTAAAACGCTTAAATTTTTTGTTTTTATTTTCTGACTTTCTTCAATGATTTTTTAAACATTAGGTTTAAATCATTAAAATAATTAAATTAAAATCATTAAAATAATTATATTAAAATAATTTGGTGGCCTGACAGAACCGGACTCAGGACTCAACAGTCCAAAACTTTTGAAAAACACATCCATGTCAAACTCTGAGGGACTAAATGTTAAAGTCCGATTATAAAACATAAAACAACACAGACAGGTGGAATTATTATGAGCATTTATTTCACAAGATTAATGTCCATCAGTTTTTATCAAAGTAGATAAACTGATGGAATCATGACCTCCAACAGTGAATAAAAGACTAAAACTACAGTCCAATCCGCCTCACAGTAGTGAACCAGATTTTACAGAATAACAACTTTGGATGAAAATGATGAAAGTTTGAGACAGTTTCTATAAAATCAAACTTTCATGGATGCTTTTTGGAATAATTAAAAAATGTTTAAAAACAAAAACAGTCAGGACTTCAAGTCAAATTAGACAAAACAACAAATAAACCAATTAAAAAAAAAACAGTAAGAGGACTGACCTGAGCAGCAGGAGCAAAGACGTTCAGATACAGACAGTCCTCACTGGAGGACGAAGACTCAAGATCACCGGGCTGGATACAGCTGGGACTTAGGGACGAGAGACAAAAGGGGTTAGAGACAAAGACACAGGAAGACAAGGAAACAATGAGACAAAAAAACAAGGAGACAAAGAAACAAAGAAAAAAGGACACAAAAAGACAAAGAAAGAAAGAGGCAAAGACACAAAGAGACTAGGAGACAAAGACACAAAGAGACAAGGACACAAAGACACAAAGAGACAAAGACAAAAAGAGACAACAAGACAGGGCGGCAAAGATCGAAAGAGACAAGGACACAAAAAGACAAGGATAAAAGAGAAAAAGACACAAAGAGACAAGGCAAAAAAGAAGACAAAGACAGAAAGAGACAAGGAAACGAAGAGACAAAGACAGGAGGAGACAAAGACACAAAAAGACAGTGACACAAAGAGAAGAATACAGGAAGCGACAAAGAAACAAGGACACAAAGATGCAAGGAGACAAAGACACAAATACAGGAAGAGACAAAGATACAAGGACACAAAGACACAAGGAGACAGGGAAACAAATACAGGAAGAGACAAAGAAACGAGACAAGGACACAGACACATGGAGACAAAGACACAAATACAGGAGGAGACAAAAAGACAAAGAGAAGAAAGAAAATGAGTTAGAGAAAGGTTTAAAGCACCACTTGTGGGAGAAAAATTCTGACAGTTATTGGACAGAGGGACAGACAGGTGTAAGGACAGCTGGACGGACATGGTTTTGGACAGACGGGGGTGCTAGGCAGTAGCAGTTCTAAACATGGGCGAACAGGGCAGCCGCCCGGGGCGGCATTTGTATGGGGGGTGGCACGAGCACTTCCAAAAAATAAAAAATAAAAGTAAAAAATAAATAAATAAATAAATCTGCGCCCCAAAGCGGTTTTGTATTAACTCTTGTCAATTGGCGCCCCCTGCTGCAAAAGGCGCCCCTGCTTGCTGCGAAGGTGCTGCACAAAGGCCGACAGACTGTATGAGACGAAGCAGGGAGGGGGTCGCGGGGGACAGTTCACCTCTGGGTCTCTCAAGTGGAACGGAAAGGAGGGGGGCGGGGGGGATTCACTGTATATTACTATACTGTAATGGAATTAGTAGGCATAATCAGATCACATCTCCTGTCTTTCAAAAAAAAAAAAATACAGGCCAACTCGTGTTTTTCTGAATTGCATGAAATGGATACAAATAGGTGATACAAAATTGATTATGAGGTCAATCAGGTGAGTTGGTTTAGTCCTGACTTCTGGTCTTGAGTGACAGTGTTGGGGGATGGGAAATCTGTTGACTGTCGAGTGCCAAATAAGTGCAGAGATGGACAGAAAACGGCCCAAGCCATCAGGTGCTCAATTTAGGAAAAAAAGAAAAGAAGATGAGGAGAAACGAGCGAAAGATAAAGGTAAGTAACTAGTTCTCTCTATATGATTACAATGTGAGAATATTCTATATGATTAGATTACGTTATCCATGTCGTAAATAAAGGGCTTATGTATAACGTTTAGTTTGCCTTCTTGCTAAAAACAATAGCCTACTATTTCGGTTTTCACCCAACAAACAGGAGATCTCATTTCACCATTAGATTGTGCTTTGCAAGACAACTGTTACAAGTTGAGTTATTACTTATTTCCATCATTTGGGTTGACGTTGGGCCCTGTATTAACAGAATGTATCTGTAAGTTAACATTAGGTAGCCTATTTCAACATACATTTGCCATGCCATTTAGCTACAACTCCATTTCGTGACAAAGCTAGTTTAACCAGTCATAACTAAAACAATAAGAAGCTAATTGTTCCACCTTGTTTCACCATGCTTTAGTCTGATATAAAACATTAAGCATGTAAGGGCATGTTTATGAAATGTGCAATTCATGGAGGTTTTATTTTAATTTGAATATTGCATACTGTGTTTTTGATGATTATTTCAATTGTAATTTCAGGGGCACTTCTGAAATATTTTGGAGCCTCTGCCACTGGTCAGGATGTGCCATCTACCTCCCCCACCAGACAAGATGAGGAGGAGCAACCATCTACCTCATCAGCTACACAGGCCTCTTCTGAAATGGTCTCAACCCTTGATGATGAGCCACTATCTATGTCTACAGCCACTTCGTCTCCACAAAAATCTCTCTCTACTTCTACTTCTCCCCAGCATGAGCCTTCAGGTGGGTTTGCAGGTCTGTCTGTCTCTCTCTCTGCCTGTGTATGTTTGTTTAGAGGGGGTATGCCTAGGGTAAGACAAGTGCAATTTAATGTAAATTTAATACATTATTTTTGATCATTTCTTAGTTGATGAGTTATGTTCCACTGCTATGTGCTCTGACTAATGTGCTACCATGCTGTCTGATAGAAATGCCTGAAGCTGAACGCCCACTCAGCCCCACTGCTGAGGATGAGCCTCTGTCAACTGACCCTGCTAAGTGGCCTTCACCTTTGACTGACAGGATTCGAACTGAGCTGGTTCGCAGAGGACCCAGTAAGGTGCCACCTGACTTTGTTTTCTGTCGGAATGAGAGTGATGGGAGAAGCTGCCACCACCAATATTTTAAAAAGACACTAATTAGTGGTGAAACAATGGCAAGAAGTTGGCTGATATATTCCATGGAGAATAATAGCCTTATTTGCTTCTGCTGCAAATTGTTTTCCAAGAGGAACATTCGTTTAACAAGTTCAGGGGTGACAAATTGGAAACATGCAAGCACTTATCTCACATCTCATGAAAACAGTCCAAAACACCTCAATTGCATGAAAGCATGGAAGGAACTGGCAGTGAGGTTAAGAAGTGGGGAAACCATTGATAAGCAGGAGATGGCACTTTTGGAGGCTGAGAGGGTTAGATGGAGGGCAGTGCTGACACGTCTGACTGCTATTGTGCAGTCACTGGCAGTCCGAAATTTGGCTCTAAGGGGACACACAGAAACACTGTTCACACCATCAAATGGTAATTTTCTCAAGGAGGTTTAATTTATGGCCAAGTTTGACCCCAGTATGAAAAATCACCTTGACCGTGTTGTAAGAGGAACAGCAAATCACAACAGCTATCTTGGCCATCATGTGCAGAATGAGCTGATTGATTTGTTGAGTGGCAAAATAATATCTGCTCTGGTGGATGACATTAAGCAGGCAAAGTTTTTTTCAGTTATTCTTGACTGCACCCCAGACATAAGCCACACAGAACAGTTGTCAGTGGTCATTAGAGTGGTGTCACTGATGGAGAAGCCCCATATCAGGGAACATTTTATGGGATTTTTGGAGGCAGAGGAGTCCACAGGTCAGCACTTGGCATCCATGATACTGACAAGACTTGAGGAGTTGGGAATTCCTTTTGAAGACTGCAGAGGACAGTCTCATGACAATGGGGCAAACATGAGAGGAAAAAATAAGGGAGTTCAAGCCAGGCTCTTAGAAAAGAATCCAAGAGCTCTGTTTGTGCCATGTGGAGCACATACATTGAATTTAGTGGTATGTGATGCTGCTAAGGCCTCTGTTGATGCTCTAAGCTACTTTGGTGTCCTGCAAAAGCTTTACACATTGTTTTCAGCCTCCACCCAAAGATGGGCCATACTGAAGACTCATGTGAGCACCTTAAAGATGTGGGCAGAAACAAGGTGGGAGAGCAGGATCAAGAGCGTTGAGCCCATGAGATACCATGGAGCTGCCATGAGAGATGCATTAATTGAGGTGAGAGACAACACCAAAGACCCTGCAATAAGGAATGAGGCTCAGTCTTTGTCTGAGGAAGTGGGGTCGTACCGCTTCAACATCTGCACGGTTGTTTGGTATGACATGCTGTCTGCAATACAGCATGTCAGCAAACTAATGCAGTCTCCAGATATGCACTTGGACATAGCTCTGAGTCTTTTGAAGAAGACTGAGCAAGGTCTTCAGAGCTACAGAGCAAGTGGCTTTGTGACAGCACATGTGGCAGCCAAAGACATTTGTGAAGAAATGAATGTGGAGGCTGTCCTTCAGCAAAAAAGGCTGAGGTCCACAAAGCGCCACTTCTCTTATGAGTCTCATGATGAGCCTCTAAGTGATGCACTGAAGAAATTAGAAATTGAATTCTTCAATGTTGTTGTTGATGCTGCCACATAAGCCATCACTGAGAGGTTTTCCACATTGGAAAATGTCGGAAACACATTCAGCGTTCTGACTAGTTTCCCAAGTCTGGAAGTCAAGGAGCTGGAAGAACAATGTGAGGCACTAGGCACCACACTGTCCTTTGAAGGGGACTCAGATTTAGACTGTACACAGCTTGTGCAGGAAATCAAGAGCTTCCCTGACCTGCCATCAAAAACCATGAGCCTCCTTGAGCTGATCACTTTCATGGATGATAAGGATCTATCAGAGATCTATCCCAACTTTTGGACTGCTCTCAGGATTGCTCTCACTCTGCCAGTCACGGTGGCTCAAGCAGAGAGGAGCTTCTCAAAACGCTCGGGGGGGGGGGGGGGTCTCGCCCGGGGAGTAATGTAGTGTAGAACCGCCACTGGTGCTAGGACAGCTTTGTGGACAGATGGACGGTGTTGGGACATGTAGGTGGACAGATGGACAGTGTTGGGACAGGTAGGTGGACAGATGGATGGTGTTGAGACAGGTATGTGGACAAATGGACGGTGTTGCGGCAGGTAGGTGGACAGATGGATGGTGTTGGGACAGGTACAGTGTTAGGACAGGTAGGCCGACAGATGGATGGTTTTAGGACAGGTAGGTGGACAGATGGACGGTGTTAGGACAGGTATGTACCGAGGTGCGGTGGCGTCCCAGGTCCTGCTCCAATCAGCTGGCTGTGCTGCTTCAAAGCGGAGCGATCCGATTGGTGGACGGGCATAAGGGATTCCCAGGAACTGAACAATGGTCTTTTTTTCGGAGCCAATCGAGGTTTCCATGGCAACACCCTGAAGGACGCCATGACCGGGGATGGAGACAGATGTAACCATTGGCAACAGCTCTGAAAAGAAAACAAGACCGTGCAGTGGAGATGACGAGTTTAGACCAGACGGCTGATAGTTCCTGCTCCATGGTAACTCACCTGTCCTCAGGTAGACCTGAGGGGCGGGCTCTCTGAGAACCAGCCTGCAGGAATAGGAGGGGCTGTTTGAGGTGGGGGAGGAGCTTAATCCACAGGCTGTTGTGTCAGGATAGAGGACGCAGCGAGTTGCTGACTCCACCTCATTCAGTGACACGGCAGCACAAGACTCCGCCTCCTGACAGGCTGACACGGGAAGTAAACAGGAAGTGAAGAGGAAGTGAGGGGGTGAGTCCTAAAAAGTAAACAATGTTTTGTTGTGCTAGTTTATTCGTGGTGGTTACCATGGAGACACCAGTCTCTTGTTTTCTCGGGGTCGCTTGCGATGTCCCGGCTGACATGGATGACATCATACTGAGAGAGAGACGGATCGACCAGAACCGAAGACAGAGAGAGGAGTGTCCACTGGTCCAGAGACACTGAGGACATCAATACTGCAGTATTAGTACCCGACTGTGTTCTGTAGAACTGCAGTATTAGTATCTGAGAGTGTTCTGTAGAACTGCAGTATAAGTACCTGATAGTGTTCTGTAGAACTGCAGTATTAGTATCTGAGAGTGTTCTGTAGAACTGCAGTATAAGTACCTGATAGTGTTCTGTAGAACTGCAGTATTAGTACCTGACAGTGTTATGTAGAACTGCAGTATTAGTACCTGATAGTGGTCTGTAGAACTGCAGTATTAGTACCTGACAGTGTTCTGTAGAACTGCAATATTAGTACCTGATAGTGTTCTGTAGAACTGCAGCATTAGTACCTTACAATGTTCTGTAGAACTGCAGTAGTACCTGATAATGTTCTGTAGAACTGCAGTATTAGCAGTAATACTGTGATAGTATTACAGTTTTTGGACTCACCGTTGCTTTTTGTGGACAGGAGATTAAACGGAGGACAGAGCGCCGGAGACGAGCTCCACTGATTCACTGAGCAGACAAACACACAAATACACAACATCACAAACATAACATCACAAACACACACTGTCACACACTGATCCAAACCTGCAGTTCCATGAGTGTCCACTACAGGCTGCCTTCTAAAGTAAGTCAGTCCCCATAGAGACCCATGTTAACATGTTTGACTCTCTTCGTGGTGAATTTTTAAAAACTTTAAAATAAATCTGTAAAAAAGTTCTGAGATTTAAAAAAAGTAAAATTTTAATATGAGATATTTTTAAAAAGATGCAATGATTTTAAAGCAACTTAAAAAAAAGGTTTTAGAACTAAAAATCACATGTTTAATCAGATTTAGAGTTATTATTGTCTTCATGAAGATGTGGTGTTTTTGGTAGTACCTGGTTTCTGGTACCATCCAAACGGGTCCGGTGTGGTCTTTATCACAGACGGTTTACAGTCCTGACTCCTCCAGGTGGTCGAGTCGTCTTCAGCACAGGTCTGAACCCCGAGACTGATCAGAGACAGACAGACCAGGTCTGAACCTCCTGAAACACACACACAGTGAAAATACACACAGAGTGAAAACACACACACAAAGCGAAAACATACACAGAGTGAAAACACACACCGTGAAAACACACACCGTGAAAACACAAACACAGTGAAAACATACACAGAGTGAAACACACACAGTGAAAACACACCGTGAAAACACACTGAGGGCTCTGTTTTCATGTCCGCCGGCGGTGTGGTGGAGGGTGGCACACCCCTCACATTGGTATCGTTGTCTGGCGGAGCCCGGTGCATAGCCAATTTGGTATTTTCATGGACTGAGGCGCACCGAGATACATTTAGATCTATAGATATATTCTGATCTATATCGATATATTCTGATCTATATCTGATCTGATGAGCACGTTTTGCATGTGACACACAACCTGACCGAATTAACACAGCTGAAACCGCATTAAATTAAATTAAATATCTAGTAAATAGACACACGTGAAGTTTACAAGATATTTAAGTCGTCCCCCTTTCTCTCTTCCCCCTTTTTTCTCACGCAGCTTGACCTGGACATGTCTGTGTGTTCTCTCCCCGTCCTGATGCTGTGGCGGCAAGGCTGGTCAGAGGATTTATTTTAGTGATCAGATGAGTTATTAACTTAAAAAATTTGAACAAAAAAGTAAAAGAAACTTTCATTCAAAATAGCCCGTTTATCTAATGTCCTCACATCCTTAAAATTCTGTGAATATTTAATCCGGAGTTAGGTTTACATACGAATATTATAATTTTCATTTGCATGAGCAAAATTAATTTTATATGCCAACATCTATGAAAGAAAGAGCCAGGCCACGGAGTGCGATGCGTCATTTACGCACATGTGGTTCAGATTTTAATGCCATTATTGGAGTTTATGTTGTGATCTGTGCGCTCAACCCACCTTTGTCACGTGAGGTTTGAATATATGCAACTTTATTTCTGGAAAAGGGTGTTTGTCTTACCAGTGGGTCCAACCTTACACACACCAAATCCATCTGTGCTTATATGAGACAGTGTGGAGGACGCCCTCTGCAGCGCTTACAGCTACACTTGTTGAGGGGCTGCCTTCTGGTGCCATCGTGTGGCATTGCTGTCTTCAGACATCTCTTGATCTCTTGAACTACTTCACGAAAATTGTAATACACCTCGCTGGTGTCGGATTTAAAGGTGAGAAGAGGAGCTGCTCTGATTGGCGAAAACAGGTCTCGGCTGTGTTAAACTCACTCCACACCTTCTCTCCTCCCTCTCTACGACTTACACCGCTGGGAGGAGCTGAGTTAGGGAGGGGGGATACTTACGCCGTGCTGCGCTGCTCACGAAAATACCAAAATGTGCTTGGGCATGCCTCGTTGGCACGGCAGACCTGACTTATGCCGCACCAATGCCACGCCGCCGGTGAGGCATGAAAATAGAGCTCAGAGTGAAAACACACACAGTGAAAACACACACACAGTGAAAACACACACACAGTGAAAACACACAAAACATGCCCATTTACTGCTGACTTTAATATCATCCTAATAATGTGGATCCAGTGCTGCGACAGCTTTTATTGTTGGTTTATGAATTCTGTGAAGCCAAAAAGATAACAGCTGACACAAATGTCGTCCTTGAACCCACAACAAGCTGACTCCAATTAATCCAAAACCTGCTGGCTGGTACAGGATTGTTTAGACCGATGTTTGATAAAGACTCACCGTTCATATGAATAAAGAGTTAGAGTTCGGCCTGTCAGTATGGAAGCAATTGTGACTCATATCTCAATTTCAAAAGCATTAGCAGAAATGCTTTTTCATTTCAAAGTCATGGCTGCACTATTTGACTCAAAAATAAAAATAAAAAGCAATATTCCAAAATGCAATTTCATTTTCTTTTTCAAGACTGCTCATTTTGTGACTGAATTAAAAAGCAAAAGCAAATCACATTTAACATTTAATTTTCAAAACATTCACCAGCAAACAAGTAACAAAATTCAATTTGAAATGTCAAATTGAATGGTCTCGCCACATTTTATCTTCAGTGGACTAAAAATATTCTAATTTCAAAGTCATCTGCAGGCTTCTGTTGCACAGTGTATTCAAGTATCCCATCTCAATAAATGAGAATATATTTATTCTTATTTGTTGAGGAGCACCTGTACTGTATGCTGTTAGCTTGCTTCTGTGCAGCTCACAGCTCGAACACTGCAGCAGCATGCCTCGATGTTGAATTTTGTGTATGTTGTTGCAAAGTTTATTTCAGGGGTACAGTATCTGAAATGGTAAGGTAATAAAACAGCATAGGAGATAAGAGTGTGCAACTTTCTTTATTGTTCTTGTTCTGCTCATTGTACCAAATGTCTCTAAAAGTAGTACTGGAGGAACAGCTTTCAGCTACCAGGCACCTCTCCTCTGGAATCATTTACCGCTCGAGGTTCGGGGGGCAGACACCCTCTCAACTTTCAAGAGTAGACTTAAAACGTTCCTCTTTGATAAAGCTTGTAGTCTGGGCTGATTTGAGCCAGCTCTTAGTTATGCTGCTATAGGTCTAGACTGCCTGGGCTATCTGGCACTCTGAGCTAGAGTCTGTCTCTATCTCTTCTTTAGATCTTTATGTCCCATATAAGTCACTAACCAGTTTTCTGTCTCTCTGAGTGTCTCTGAGTCTCTTAGCTTCCACTGGACTAATGCCGCAGACGGTCTACTGTGGAACTGCCTGACCCCAGCTGCATCATCCCTGATTGTCCACCCTGGGCCCTGAGCTCCTCCATCTCTTTGGCTCCTCTGGACCATTGCTGCAGACACCCCCTGCCCCCTGGTTGCTCCGGACTGATGGCTGCTGCAGACCTGAACATGAACATCAGCCTCACTGACATTACTGACATTAATAACATAAACTAGAGCTGTCTACGAGTAGGCCTGCTGACTGTAATCACATTTAATTAATTTAACATTGTCCATAATCACTCATATCCTAACCCTGTAAACTGAACTCATTTTGTTTCACCATTACATGAGCTGTTGCTCTCTACATTCCTCCCCAACCCAGCAGCGGCATGGTGGCTGTCTAACATGAGGCTGGTCCTGCCCAAGGTTTCTGCCTGTTAAAAGGAAGTTTTTCCTTGCCACTGCTACTCATGTTAGTTGAGATGGGCCAAAACCCATCTTAGGTTGGTTCTTGATCATCAAACTATGAGCGTGGTCTAGACCTGCTCTTGTTTTTGAAAAGCATCTTGAGATGACGACTGTTATGAATTGGCGCTATATAAATAAAAATTTGACAAGGTGCCGACTAAGGATCATTTGAACAATCAATCAATAAATCAATCAAACTTGGGTGTGCTCCTCTTGTACGAAGCCTACAGGTACAGTAAGAACCTCATCCAACTTTCACCCCTGTATTAGAGTACAGGTTGTCACAGGTTAGTCCACTGAAGATAAAATGTGGAGAGTCCACGTCTCCATGCTGTAAGTGCGTGAGTAAAAGGACCAGCACACCTGACACACCGCTGACATCTGCATACAGTCACAGGTTAACACGGACAGAGACTGCAGTGATTCTGCCTCCGTGCCATGTATTTTTAAAGCATCTCTATGACCATTTTGTCTGTTTCTCACTGTGTTTATGACCCTTTACTTGCAAAATATCCCAAATCCATCGATCAGTGATGAGAACAATGAGGAGTATAAAGTCCATTAGTCCGCTGAAACAGATAGCCGCGATCCGCAGTTTGAATTCATTCAATGATACACGGATTCACTGCCCCCTATCGGCCAGAAGGGGCCAGAACAAGTCGGGTCTGTGACGTCACTTCCTGGCGCCACTTGAGATTGCGAATCAGATTGAATTATGAGACACTTTTTGCGGGGCGAGCACGAAAACGAAAAAGCATTTCTGAGTTTGTTTTTTCTTTTCAATTTTGTCACAGAATGGGCAGTCTTGAAGAAGAAAATGAAAATGCATTTTGGAATATTGCTTTTTATTTTTATTTTTGAGTCAAATATTGCAGCCATGACTGAAATGAAAACGCATTTCTGCTAATGCTTTTGAATTTGAGATATGAGTCAAAATCGCTTCCATATGTCAGCAGTGAAGGTTCATGATAAGTGTACAATTTTAAAAGACGTAAAACAATTTAACGTCTCAGTGTAAAAATCTCTGAGGTTGTTCAAATCCAAAATGATCTTCACTTTGTGTCAAACAGATTAAAAACTGAGGGACTTCAGGAAAGACTGAAACCACGGAGCAAGGACTAAACAAGAGGGAGAGCAGCCGGACCGGGACTCCTGAACCGAGTCCAAATCCTCTGGGATTAGTTTGAGATCCCTGGAATACTCACTGATGTCTAAGAATCTAAAATACTCCAGGATACAGAACGTTTATGTGGGAAATGAAGGTCAAAGTTCAGATCATGGCGCACATCTCACTGACTCAGTAGCGGTTCTAGGCACGGGCGAACAGGGCAGCCGCCCGGGGCGGCATTTGTGTCATGACCCCCCCCCCCCCCCCCCGCTGCTGTAGGCGCCCCTGCTTGCTCTGAAGGTGCTGCACAGAGGCTGACAGACTGTATGAGACGAGGCGGGGAGAGGGTCGCGGGGGGGACAGCTCTGCTCTGTGTACGCATGTCAGCATATCAGAGAGTGCGGGCTGCGCATTTCTACTCTGCCGGAAGCGCGGATACGTCATTTTGTAACATTCTGTAGTTTTTTAATCATTTCTGGAGTCGTGGTGAATCAAATCACCGTACCCGTCTGCCTCTGATAGGCGAATAAAGCGCTCGGGTTCATGCTCGGATCTTGCTAAGTGCTTGATGAGCTTCATGAGTAAAGTAAACAATGACTGAGGCGGAGAGCAGCTTCAGAGAAGAAACATCCAGCAGTGTGAACAACCTCATATCATATGGAGTGCTTTGGCTCACACTATCAGCGTTTTACTGTGAGTGTTGCATGACTTTGGGTGAGAACAGAGATGAACCTTAACACAGAAAACCTCAGATCTGGGGCCTTCTCAAAATGGCCCTCAGGATTGTGTTTTTCTATTGAAGGATTTCTGCAATTGAGAAATACAAATATCTGTTCAAAACTATCTGTTCAAAATTCTATCTCATTTGTGTTTGTGTGTGTGCGTGTGGTGGTGGTGGTGTGTGTGTGTGTGTGTGTGTGGTGTTTGTGTGTGTGTGTGTGTGTGTGTGTGTGTGTGTTACAGAAAATAAAGTGCTAAAATAAAGCCCTTTGAAGCATGCTCTTCAAATAAGATTCACTCAAATAAACTGGAATTAAACAAATAAATTAAAATAAAATGATTTAATGATTTCAAACAAACAGGAGGATGAGGGTTACCTGCTGATTTGGTGTCTCGGACAAAACCGATCCCACGACAACAAGGATCTTCATCACATCGGCGCTCACATTCCCTGAACCTGAACACACACACACACACACACACACACACACACACACACACACACACACACACACACACACACACTCATTGGAGTTTAATGTCCAAAAGTCTCCATCAGTTTAACCTGGTCTTTACAAACTGTCTGAGGAAAGGTCTCCAGACAAGAAGGTCTAAAGGAGTCCACCAAAAACCATCTGTGTGCGTGCGTGCGTGTGTGTGTTACCCATCAGACAGCGGTGTGTCTCCAGACATGCTGACTCGGCTGCGTACAGAATAAGAAACCATCTTCTGGAAGGAAACTCTCTGGTAGAAGCTCTTCACAGCTCCGGACAGATCCACTGAAAATACAAACACAGTCGCTCACAACAGTCCTCCAACTGCAGCTCCACCTGCTCCACCTACCCCTCCACCTGCAGCTCCAGCAGTGATGTTCTTACCCTTCTTTCTGTAGGTATGACTGGGACTTCTGTCCAGCAGGGGGCGACAGGGGCGTCTCAGCGGTTTGTCGTACGCTCCACAGACTCTGCTGTCGGGGAGAAGAGAGCAACTGACGAATCCAGGAGCGTCCGAGTCTCTGAGGTCAGCGACGGCGCAGAGCGGCTCTGAGTCACAACCTGGAACACACACACACACACACACACACAATAAAACACACACACACACACACTTGAATTCAGTCTGTTTGATTCATAAACTACCACTGCTGACTGTCTCTCAGGGTTTGTGACGTACGTGTGAGGCACCAGAGCAAAGCCTGCTGGGAGTTGTAGTTGTTCTTGTTGAGCAGGAAGGAGAGCACTGAGAGTTTCCTTTGAGGATCCACGAGAACATCATCTTCTGACAGAGACTTAAACTTCTGCTGAACCGAAGCTGAGAACACAGATTTACATCTTTACAAAGACCTTAGATTAAAAAAAAATACAGACTCATTTTTTCTGTTTTTCGGTTTTCATTTTGTCAGTCAAAGATCTGAATCAGGAGTTTCATGTTTCTGATACGAACCATCCAGAGGAGGTCGGAGTTCTGCTGCTGCTGCACAGGAAGAGGAACTAGAGCCACCAGCTGCTGAAAAGGTATCTGAACAAACAAACAAACAAACAACAGTAAACAAAAAAAAGAAAAAAAAAAAGAACCCCCCCGAATAATTTCCTCCTGATTGTGAATCTGTATTTGGGTTCTTAATCCAGCTGCATCTTTATCATCTTTGGGACTCTCAAACATATCTAATGACGTTTTCTTTTTACCTTTTAATTTCCAATCTATTCTTGTTTGTCTGCATTTTGGTTCTTACTTCTTCTGTTCAGTTTTAGTTGAGTGACCTTTAAGAAGACTCCTGTCGTCTCTTTGTGAAACACTCTAGTGTTGTCTGCATTTGGGTCCCTTCTCTTCAGCTGGTTCCTGGTATCTCTGTAAGTTCCTCCTCTCCTGTTTGTCTGTCTTTTGGTTCCTGTGTTCAACAACAGTTGTTGTTGTTGTTGTTGTACCTCTGAATCCCTGAGCTGTTCTTTTGTATTTGGGTCCTCCCTCCCGCTGCCTCTTCCTATGCTGTGTGACTGTGGAGAGAGTCGGTGCTGTCAGATCTTCCTGGGAACTTTAAGGTTAAGGTTAGGGTGAGGGTGAGGGTAAGGGTCAGGGCTAGGGTGAGGGTGAGGGTGAGGGTTAAGGTTAGGGTCAGGGTCAGGGTGAGAGTTTGGGTCAGGGTGAGGGTCATGGTTAGGGTTGGGGTCAGGGTGAGGCTTAGGATTAAGGTTAGGGTCAGGGTGAGAGTTTGGGTCAGGGTGAGGGTCATGGTTAGGGTGAGGGTTGGGGTCAGGGTGAGGCTTAGGGTTAAGGTTAGGGTCAGGGTCAGGGTGAGAGTTTGGGTCAGGGTGAGGGTCATGGTTAGGGTGAGGGTGAGGGTCATGGTGAGGGTGAGGGTCCGGGTCAGGGTGAGGGTTAGGGTCAGGGTCAGGGTCAGGGTGAGGGTCAGGACTGTTTCTAACTGACTGCTGGATTCCTAAAAAGTTCCTTTTTGTCCAGTTTCTAAATATTGGGTTCTGTCTCTTTGAGTCTCTGTTACATTAAAGGTAAAGTTGCACATACACACATATATCAGCATACCTGTGTTTAGGTAGACGGCCTGGAACTTGATGATGGCAGCCTGGTAGTCCTTCTTGTTCTTACTCTCAGCCGGCAGAGCGGAGTCCACTGAAACAAGAACCAGTCATAGACTGTACTGGCTAAATGAGATCGTGTTGGTTCGTTCCACTTCAGTGGTGCAACATAAACTGTGATTCATAAAATAGCTCTATTGTTAGTAAGTACTAAAAAAAATCTACTCATGTCATCCAGCCGATTTTTAGTAATCAGTGTTTCGGTGTCAAACTATTTCCTTTCTGTGGCATAGTGATACTTGCACACGTGCAATCGAATATGCAAAGGGGTGAAGCGATTTATGTCACGTGGACCAATAGGAGCCGAGTCATGTTGCCATAGTATCAGAACAACACAAACATGGCGACGAGCGCATCTAGCAGTGAGACAAATGAAGAGGAAGAAAAGAAAAGGAAAAAAAGAAAACAGCCTTCAAAAGTGCATAAAAAAGGAACGAAACGATGCTGTATGCATCTATCATCTGTCCAGAGTGAAGACGTTCTCGACTTTACAAAGACACGTTGGGAAACTTACAGAACTAGTATTAGAAAGTGGCTTTCTCTACAGGGTGAGACAAAGGACCTTACAGAAACTTATAAAGATTGCATTGATATCGACTTTGACAATGTTCCTGATGACGCTGGGTTTCACATGACATGCTACCAGCGATTAATTTGCTATAAGCGTTTGAGTTTGGCCGAAAAGAAACAAGAACGTGATGCAGCCGCGGGTCAGTCAAACCCTTCAGCCAGCATTGCCGATGCATCCACGTCCACGGCATCTTCGCTCGAGGTCATAGGCTGTATTGAGACAAAGGAAAAAAGTGCCCAGAAAGTGAATTTCGTTCCACTACGCTGGTGCTACTTGTTCAATGCATTTTTGCATAGACAATACCATTCTGGACTTTGGGTTAAAGATCTACTCAGACTATCTGTCCGACTTTTGTCACCAGCCAGAAATGTACATATATGTGAGTAACACAAAAAACAATTATATGGTGCTGCTGTTTTTGTCTTGTAGAAACTGCTATGTTGATTCTGGCAAGACAAAATCTTTCTCAAATGTCATAAATACATCTACCTAACATCTGAAACAGTTATTGGTGCCTTAGTATACGCATAAGTGAATTCAGATCATGAAATGTAACAAATTTCTTGAAGAAAACGTCTCAAGTGATTTGCACCCAGCACAATGAAATATATACAGTAAATTTAGCTAAAAGCTTATGTTTCATACATAAAAATGACAAATAGTGACCATGTCACCATGTACAATTTTTTTTTGTTTAAAGGATTGCTACACCGAGATTTGAGATTTTTATTATTTTTATGTTTGTTCTACATTTGTCTGCGTTTGTGTTTTGATCTTTATTTTCATACTCTGGAGGGATTGATAAATGTCAAATGTTTTGACACTGTGATACTTGAATAAATGTTTTATACCATATTGTGAATTAATTCAGACCTTTTGTGCATTTATTTTTGTCTTGTTACATTTTTTCCATTAGTCCAATTTTGGGGGGCGTGGTAGCAATTTGATTGATTTTCAGCCATTTATGGCCATGGTGTGCTGTTCATATTTTATTGCTTTTATTACACAGTAGGTTGTGTCATTTTTAAGTATGAAGCTTTTAGCTAAATTTACTTTATATATTTCATTGTGCTGGGTGCAAATCACTTTAGTTGAGACGTTTTCTTCAAGAAATTTGCTACATTTCATCATCTGAATTCACTTATGCGTTAACTAAGGCACCAATAACTGTTTCAGATGTTAGGTAGATGTATTTATGACATTTGAGAAAGATTTTGTCTTGCCAGAATCAACATAGCAGTTTCTACAAGCAAATACAGCAGCACCATATAATTGCTTTTTGTGTTACTCACAAACATGTACATTTCTGGCTGGTGACAAAAGTCGGACAGATAGTCTGAGTAGATAGTTAACCCAAAGTCCGGAAGGGTATTGTCTATGCAAAAATGCATTGAACAAGTAGCACCAGCGTAGTGGAACGAAATTCACTTTCTAGACACTTTTTCCATTGTCCCAATACAGCCTATCAGAACTTGACCTGTGCTAAAACTCAGAACTTTGTAAGTCGAACTCTCTATCTTACTGATAATGAAGTTTTGACCCCCAAAGTCGAACACGAAGCTCTTCTGCTGCTCGTTGTATGTAAGCCCCGCCCCGCAGATACGATTGGCTTGTCCCTGTCCTGTAACATCCCAGTCCTCATCCCCGCACATCAAGACTGACGGAGCGCTCAGCCAACCACAGAGCAGGGAACCTAAGAGGGTGGGACAGAGAGGTTTCATTCATTCATCCGTTCACCTACATCCTCTTTCATTCATTCATGCAGCTGCTCACTAAGGTGTGGTTTGTCTCCATGGTAACGTACCGCCGTTCAGGACGTTCTGGTTGAGGATGAACCCGTCACAGCAGGTGTCGCGGCGACAGCCGTCCTGACAGAAACGATGAGCATCAGACAGAGAGGTCTGCGCTGAGGAGAACACCTGAGTCCTGAACACACCTGACACCACCTTCTTCATCCTCATCCTCTCAAAACTCTGCTGCTGCTGCTTCTGCAGGGAAAACTCAGCCCCTGAGACACACACAGGTACGCACACACCTAAGCACACCTGAACACACCTGTAACAAAAACTGAATAAGTGGATTATGATTTTATTTTCAGTCACCTGAGGTTAGCTGACAGTACCTTTCTTTCTGATGACCACGAGATCTGAAGCTCCGCCCCTTACTCTCACAGAGCAGCTCAGCGAATCGAAAAGCTCAGCCTGAGGATTACCCAGAAATCCACTGGTCTGAAATAAAAGGTCATGTGATCAACATCAACGATTCAGTCAGGACCATAGACTGTATATACTATGGACAACCTTCTTCCGCCTACCGCCTGTATACGGATTTGAAGCCAAAAAGCTCTCGGTATTTCCGGGATTTTTCTTCATTTCCTGAAACCAGCGCTGTGCAGTAGCGTTGTGCGCATTCGGCCGTGCAGTCGCAGAGAGTCACTGTGATGACGCTCGGCTCAAACAGCGTATGCCCCCGGGAGAGCTACGCAATCCCTGAACGCCCATAGGCTGTATCAGGTGTCAGTCATAGCAAACATGACCACCCCTAATAACTTTTAAAAACGAAGCTTCACAGAAAAAAGAGGACTTGAGCACAAACCAGTCTTACAGTAACTACATGTCAACACCAAAAGCAGGGGGGAGAATAATTTATATTCTGTGTAATAAATTTCTAAAGTTTGTCCACAGCTCCATAAGCCTTGCTGGCGGAGGCGGGATTTATGACCTATACTGCAGCCCATCAACAGAGGGTGCTGTTCTCGCAGTGGCTTCACCCAGCGAGGAGGCAGACTCTGTCCAATCTATATACAGTCTTTGGTCAGGACAGATAAAAAGAGCTCAACACTCCTCCACCTGCATGAGTAAAAGGGCGGTGTCACAGTCAGTGTTACCAATAGTCATTTTTAATGTGGTCATTTTAAGGGATGACCTTCCTGTGATTGATAAACACATATGAAAATCTAAAGCAGGGAGAGCAGCAGCAAAGACAACAGCGAAAATCAGAGACTGCGTAGAGAGAAGAAGCTGGTGTGGTGTTGGGGAAAGCAGCAGCAAATACAACAGGTAAAATCAGAGACAGCGTAGAGAGGAGGAACTGGTGTGGAGGCGGGGATAGCAGCAGAAAGGACAATAGGTAAGATCAGATACAGCATAGAGAGAAGTTGCTTGTGTGGAGGAGGGGAGAGCAGCAGCAAAGACGACAGGTTAAATTTAGAGACAGCATTGAGAGGAGGAGCTGGTGTGGAGGTGGGGAGAGCAGCAGAAAAGGGGACAGGTAATATCAGAGACAGAGTTGAAGGGGGGAGCTGGTGTGGAGGCGGGGAGAGAAGCAGAAAAGAGGACAGCGAAAATCAAAGACAGCGTAGAGAGGAGGAGCTGGTGCAAAGGTGGGCATAGCAGCAAAGACGACAGGTAAAATAAGAAACAAGTAGAGAGAAGGAGCTTGTGTGGAGGCAGGGAGAGCAGCAGCAAAGATGACAGGTAAAGTCAGAAACAGCATAGGGAGGAGGAGCTGGTGTTGAGGTGGGGAGAGCAGCAACAAAAACAACCAGTAAATTTAATAGCAGCATAGAGAGAAGGAGCTGGTGTGGAGGCGGGCAGAGAAGCAGCAAGGATGACAGGTAGAATTAAAACCAGCATAGAAGGGAGGAGCTGGTGTGGAGGTAGGGAAGGCAGCAGCAAAGATGACAGGTAAAACCAGAGACAGCGTAGAGAGGAGGAGCTGGTGTGGAGGCAGGGAGATCAGCAGCAAAGACAATAGGTAAGATCAGAAACAGCATAGAGAAAAGTTGCTTGTGTGGAGGTGGGGAGAGCAGCTGAAAAGAGGACAGCGAATCAGAGACAGCTTGGAGAGGAGGAGCAAAGGTGGGCAGAGCAGCAGCAAAGATGACAGGTAAAATAAGAAACACATAGAGAGAAGGAGCTAGTGTGGAGGCAGGGAGAGCAGCAGCAAAGATGACAGGTAAAGTCAGAGACAGTGTAGGGAGGAGGAGCTGTGTGGAGGCGCGGAGAGCAGCTGAAAAGAGGACAGTGAAAATCAGAGACAGCGTAGAGAGGAGGAGCTGGTGCAAAGGTGGGAAGAGCAGCAGCAAAGACAACAGGTAAAATAAGAGACAGTGTAAAGAGGAGGAGCTGGTGCGGAGGTGGGCAGAGCAGCAGCAGGTGTTTACCTGTTGGGAGGTGTTGCAATGTGTGTTTAGTGTGTGTGTGCTGTACAGTTCACAATGAGTCTGTCCGTTGAACAGTGCCACATGGTGGCAGGAAGGCTCTTCTGCGCAGGCTGAGATTGAAACAAAGAAAACAGAGTCAGCAGAAGCAACGACTCAGTGAGACTCGAGAATTTTGAAGGACCAGAATCTGGACTGTAAGAACCTGAACACTAGAGACATCAGGATGAAGTTTGACCAATTCTATGAAGATAATTAATAAAAAGTTCATGTTTGATTTTTATTGTAATCATTTTTTTTTTAAATCCAGTATCAATCCAACCTATTTTACAAAGCCACCAAACCCTATACAGAAAATCAGCACTAAGTAAATCACAAAACTGTCCTTTATGGAGTTTAATTTGGACCTTCATCATTTCATAAAGACAGATAATACCTCATTAGGTCTGTGTGTGTGTGTACAGTCGTGGCCAAAAGTTTTGAGAATAACACAAATATTGATTTTGACAAAATTTGCTGCTTCAATTTTTCTAATGCCAATTTGCACTTACTCCAGAATGTTAGGAAGAGTGACCAGCTCAATTGCAATTGATCGCAAAGTCCCTCTTTAGATTGAAAATGAACTTTATCCCCAAGACACATTTACACTGCATTTTAGCCATGCCACAAAAAGTCCAGCTAACATCATTTCAATGACATGAATCCTTGTTAACACAGATGTGGGTGTTGATGAGGACAAGGCTGGAGATCAGTCTGTCATGATTGCGTTAAAGTGACAGACTCAACACTTCAAAAGGAGGATGGCGCTTAACATCATTGTTCCCCTTCTGTTAACCATAGTTACCTGCAAGGAAACACGTGCAGTCATCATTGCACTGCACAAAAAAGGGCCTAACAGGAAAGTTTATAGCAGCTACTAAGATTGCACCTCAGTCAACCATCTATCGGATCATCAAGAGCTTCAAGGAGAGAGGTTCAAGTGTTGCCAAAAAGGCTCCAGGACACCCAAGAAAGTCCACAAAGTGCCAGGACCGTCTCCTGAAGTTGTTTCAGCTGCGGGATCGGGCCGCCACCAGTGCAGAGCTTGCTCAGGAATGGCAGCAGGCAGGTGTGAGTGCATCTGCACGCACAGTGAGGCGAAGACTTTTGGAGGAAGGCCTGGTGTCAAGAAGGGCAGCAAAGAAGCCACTTCTCTCCAGAAAAAATATCAAGGACAGACTGATTTTCTGCAAAAAGTACAGGGATTGGACTGCTGAGGACTGGGGTAAAGTGATTTTCTCAGATGAATCTCCTTTCCGATTGTTTGGGACATCTGGAAAAAAGCCCGGAGAAGACGAGGTGAGCGCTACCATCAGTCCTGTCTGATGCCAACAGTCAAATTTCCTGAGACCATCCATGTGTTGGGTTGCTTCTCAGTGAAGGGAGTGGGCTCTCTCACAATCATGCCAAAAAACACAGCCATGAATAAAGAATGGTACCAGAACGTCCTCCAAGAGCAGCTTCTCCCAACCATCCAAGACCAGTTTGGTGATGAACAATGCTTTTTCCAGCATGATGGAGCCCCTTGCCATAAAGCGAAAGTAATAACTAAATGGCTGGGGGAACAAAACATAAAGATTTTGGGTCCATGGCCCGGAAACTCCCCAGATCTTAATCCCATTGAAAATTTGTGGTCAATCCTCAAGAGGCGAGTGGACAAACAAAAACCCACAAATTCTGACAAGCTCCAAGCATTGATTACGCAAGAATGGACTGCCATCAGTAAGGATTTGGTCCAGAAGTTGATTTACAGCATGCCAGGGAGAATTGCAGATGTCTTGAAAAAGAAGGGTCAACACTGCAAATATTGACTTGTTGCATTAACTCTGTGAAATTTTCAATAAAAGCTTTTGATCCTTATGAAATGCTTGAAATTGTGTTTCAGTATACCATAGAATTATCTGACAAAACTCCCTGAAAACTGTGAAGTAGCAGAACCTGTGAAAATTCAATATTTGTGTCATTCTCAAAACTTTTGGCCACGACTGTGTATGTGTGTGAGCGTGAGAGTGTATGTGTATGTGAGCGTGAGAGTGTGTGTGTTTGTGTGTTTTACCTTTGACGCAGGATGTGAGGTCAGAGGTCAATCTTTGCAGGATTTCAGCGTTTTCAGCTCTGACAATCACATCTGATTTAGGAACAGGCTGAAACCTACTGACAACTGAGACACACACACACACACACACCTTTATCACAGTGAAATCTAGAGTGATAAAAACGAAAGCTGCTCTCTGAATGGCTGCTAAGAATCAAAGGTCACAGTTCAAGGTAGCTTTATCGTTAATTCTGAAATAAATAAAACTCAAACAGTGGACTGAGATCGCCCCCTGTGGATAATACACTCAAACAACACATCTGGTCTGTGTAACTGAAGGAACCATGGCGCCGAGGTAACTTAAAAACATTCAGAATAAAAAATTATAGAAGTATAAAAGTAAAAACAGGAAATTAAGAAATCAAAAAAAGAAACATTTGTGCAGAAAGTAAAAAGTGCAGCATGGAAGAGTCACCTGAGCACTCGTCATCAGTCAGAGGTTCTTCACTACTCGTCCAATCAAGCCCCACCCCTTTACTGTTGACACATCTCCACCTGCCAGACAGGAAGTCAGGCTGTGCTGGCAGGAAGTCACCCTCTCCTGAACAGCGCAGACCCCGCCTCTGACACTCTGTAACACCTGATACACACACACAGAGGTCACATGACTGATTTGGAAGTTTTCTTAGACATTAGCTGCGTCCGAATTGCCAAGTAGTAGTCGAAGTAGTATCTAGCATGTCCGAATTGGCCACCGGAGCGAGTAGCATGCTACTTCAGATACTACTTCAGATACTAGACACGCCCACATTGTAGGTTGGTTGCGGTGCATCCTACGGGCATGCTACTGACCCAAAATGCACCGCGGGCTTCTTCTTCATCCTCTTAAAAGTTGTAGAAGCGCATGTGATGCTAGCGCCACCAGCTGCTCTGCCTATAGTGTGTCCGAATTGGGCCAACGTGTTTAGTATGTAGGAGTAGGATCTAGCAGTAGTATGTAGCAGTAGCATGTAGTATCCGAGCGGGCAATTCGGACGCAGCATTTGTCCTTTTGGGGGGCACTATAAGGAGGGTTTAGTCAGAAAAGACTCACACTGATTGACAGATGATGCTCCAGTAGGTGAAGTTCCTCTGGGACACCTGTTGCAGAAGTCCCGCCCCTTTTCATCCTGATAGGTTCCCTGAGGACACAGAGGACACGCCCCCTCTCCGGAGAAAGTTCCAGCAGGACACAGAACTGGAACAGATACCAGAGAAGAAGATCACTGACTGTCACTGAGGCATCATGGGAGTTGGAGTCCCTGCGTTGAGGATGAATGACAATAACTGACTCACCGCAGCCGTCGCCATCTGAGGTCAGGCGGAAACCTCGGGAACAGCCGAAAGTCGCTGTCATCATGGAAACCAGTTTGGGCTCTGATGTAAGCGTGGAGCGGATGTACGTCATGACCCCCTGAACCCGGTCCAGGAGTCTGGACTCATTCACAACCAGACCTGATACAGAGAAGATCCAAGGAGGTTCGAACAGTGTCCTTCAGTCACATGGTCCAACAGAGCGAGTGCTCCTACTCACTGATGTCATGGAGGTCTGGGAGGTCAAAGGTCGGGAGGTCAGATAGGTCAGCAGTGAACTGGATCAGAACCTTCAGAGTGTCGTTATCATCACACTGAAGACTCAGGAGGGAAGGATCACACAGAGACAAGGAGGGACCTGAGGGGAGCTACACATACACACGTGGACACACGACACACACACATACACATGGACACACAACACACACACACAGACGGACACACACACGGACACACAACACATACGGACACAAACACACACGGACGGACGGATGGACACACACACACACACACACACACACACACATTAATAATAACACTATATGTCTCCTGTTGGTGATTAACCCATTTAAACAGTATGAACACATTTCTCCCCTTTAAGTCGGGAACGCGGATACTTCATTTTGTAACATTTCTGGAGTTGTGGTGAATCAAATCATCAAACCTGTGTAGCAGACGACTGGTTTCTGCTTTCTCATCTTTAATTCACCCTCAAAGGAATGCAGTGACTCTGGTCACTGAAAGGAGATGGGGGGTGAATTTCCACACCAAACCATGGTCTTTTACAACCTCCTGTCTGTGGGAAACTAACCAAGAGGTGATCTCCCAAAAGACAGACAGTCAATCTTTTGCATTTCAAAGAGACAAAGTTGCTAATCTCCAGCAGAACCCCCGGACTGGATAAACACTCACTCCTCTGCTCTTGGCTGGGGACTCTCAAATTTGACACCTTAACTTTAAAGGTACCTTAGAAGATCATGAGAACTCAACTCAAGAGTGCATCAAAAGCATTCATCTGTGAAACAGACCACAGCCATAAATCTTCAGAGTGGCTGTATTTCCTGTGACTCTCTTTAGGTGCAGAATAAAGAAAATAACTGCAAATGATTCTATTTCAGGTTTAATAGACACTTCACCAGGATTTTCCATCTGTACACCACATCAGCAGTGAAACAGTCCTTGTCCCATTTGTTCAGCATGTTTCAGCCAAACTGCTAACTTCACAAATTTATTCCAGGTTTTCTATGGACCAAGAGCTCCCCCTAGTGGTGTTTTCCCAATATGATTTTGGTCATTATTTTATTTAATTATGTTGCCTGTTGTATACTTTGTAGCTTAGTGAATGGTTTTCCCAAAATAGGTAAGCAATATTAGAAGTAGTGACTGAAAACTCTTTTATACATGAGTTAAGAATGTTTTGATCATTTATACGCTATGCTTGTCTACCTCATCAGAATATATATTTTAATCATTTACTAAGTACAGATTGACAAGGTTATATTCCAATTAAGTGTTATCACATATGTGTTTATGCGTGATGGTGTTTCTGTTAGAAAGATAACTTGGTTTTCATCCCTCTCTAACTTTCAAAGAGCTTCTTAATTCTCAGGTTATAGACTACCAGGAAAACGGGTGATTAAAGTTTACCTTGCATTTAATGTTATGGTTTGATGCAACTGCTCATAAGAAACGATGAAGTGAAACTATATCATATGTGATTTGATAAACAGCACAAATCATAGTGAGTGAGTAAATTAGACCTAACTCGCTTATTAATCCTGCAAGTTAAAATCAATTCGCTGCCAGCCTGATCAGCCCCCGCTGTGAACGAAGAGTGCAGAGCTTGCCCCCCCCCCCCCTTTGGTTCACGCCCCACATCAAATGGGTTTAAAGCGCTGAGCTGACGCTACTCACTCTATTTATCCTCTTACCATCTTTGCTCTTACCGTCTTTTTGTCTCGTGTGTTTTTGTCTCCATCCATCGTCTTGTAACTTTTTCCCATGTTTTTTTTATTTGCCCTAATTTTTCAGACTTTTGCAGAAACTTGGATGAAACCATACCCAAGTTCCTTTTGAAACATTAGTAATCAGCTGTGCACATAGAGTACCTAAGTCTAAGTCTTTTTTTTGTTTAGTTCGCTAAAGTGACTCCTGAGAATAATATCGGCTGGCCAGTTATTAGTGCGAATTAATCTGCAGTAAAGCTAATCCTGAACACCCGGAGGACCGACCTGCATCATCTGCCGCACTGCGTTTGACACAAGATTCCGGAAGGAGAGCGCTGTGGGACCCACGGGGTGCATTTCGCGTGCATTTGGGTGTGACGACAAAGACTCCATTCGGCCGGCTGCTAGTCGCCCCGCAAAGACCCTCTGTTGCCTGGGCCTTCAGTGATCCGCTCCAAGATTGTCGCTGAGAACCATCATCGAATAAGTAGGCAAACACACCTTGAAGAACCGGTGATGCTGTCAAGCATTCAGAGCTTATAATTTTAACTATAGTTTAGTTTCTTTCAATTCCTCTTCCAAATTTATCCTCGTAACCCAGTTAACGTAGGTTAGATTTTTCCTTATTCACTCACTATTATTAACCTCCAGTCTTAGTTTCAGTTCAAACCATTCCTTTATTTATTCACTAGATGTTCTTTTAGTTTCTCATTATTTGATTGCCATTTATTGAATTTATGTTATCACCTAGCATGTGTCAATATATTGTCCATTTAATTTTAAGTTGTCGTCTCTTAGTGGTCCTTCCAGAAGTGAAGTCCCTGAAATGAGAATTCTGGCCTCAGATGTAAGATTGATTTAAATCTGTTTAAGACTGATTCAGCCTTTGATTACTCAATTGAATTTTGTTAGTCTTTTTCCCACCAGAAAAGGTGGGTGGTGCCCCTTCAACGAGTGTATAAATGTCATAATTTAATTCTATTATTTTAGGACATTTATTTTGAATTCAAATCGTTATACCTGTCTGCCTCTGATAGGCTAATAAAGCAACCGGATTCATGCTTGAATCTTGCTATGTGCTTCATCAGTAAATCAAACAATCACAGAGGCAGAGAGCAGCTTTGGAGGAGAAGCATCCAGCCTTAACAAAGGTTGTGATACTGACAGAAATGATGATGTTGACGACCTCTATTCTGAACTGTCTGGGCCACACTAGGATGAGAGGAATGTTTTTGGACGACGAGGAAGACATCTGGTGGACCTCCAGTCGATGTCTGTAAAGGGTTTGAACAACCTCTTCATATTGAGGTCTTTGGCTCACACTATCAGCCATTTCTCTGAGTGTTGCATGACTTTGGGTGAGTACAGACATGAACACACTGCCAGACACTTACTACTTACTTATTTTGAGTTTTTAGTTATTGCTTTTGTACTGGCACTTTACTAGGGCAGCAGTATACCCTTTCAACACTTTATTTTTTATATTTTCATTTGTATTGAATGGACACTTTATCATGACTGCCACTTGTTTTACAGAAAGAAAATTGTTTGCTATTCTCCAGAGCAGAGTCTTTACTTCTATTTATGAAGCCGCTTTATTTCATTTGAGTTTGTTTGTTCAAGGTTTTCAATAATGTGATTTGAATAATGTGAAAAATAAATAAAAAAAATAAAAAGATAGTTATCTTGAAAGCCATGTGGCTTGCAAGATAATTATCTTTTTAAGCTCTCAAATACTTTTTGAATTTGTTTTTATCTGCTACAGAGGCTGAGATATCAGCTTTTTCTCTGTAAACAGTCAGAGTCCCAGTTTCTCTGTAAACTCTCAGAGTCTCAGTTTCTCTGTTAACACTCAGAGACTCCGTTTCTCTGTAAACAGAGTCTCGGTTTCTCCGTTAATACTCAGAGTCTCAGTTTTTCTGTAAACATTCAGTCTAAGTTTCTCTGTAAACACTCAGTCTCAGTTTCTCTGTAAACAGTCAGAGTCTCTGTTTCTCTGTTAACAGTCAGATTCTCAGTTTCTCTGTAAACAGAGTCTCAGTTTATCCATTAGTACTCAGAGTCTCAGTTTTTCTGTAAATACTCAGAGTCTCAGTTTCTCTGTAAACAGAGTCTCAGTTTCTCTGTAGATGGTCTCTCTTCTTTCAGGTCAGTGTCTCAGTGTAGATGTTTGGTTGTCAGCTGACCTTCATGTAGAGACAGAGATCCTCCTCAGATCTCTGCTGGTGTAGTGATGGGTCAGTGTTAGGGTCGGGGTCAGACACAGGTGTGTTTCGGGTGAGTTTACCTGTACAGAGCAGGTCCCTCTGCCCCTCATGGTGTTTGACAGCAGAGTCTGTAAATGGCTGATCTGAGAGCAGGACGACGACAAGAGCCAGAGCTGAGAGGATGACACAGACTGAAGAGGCTGAGAGACTGCAGACAAACACACACACACACACACACACACACACACACACACACACACACACGAGTGAATGTGTCTGAATCACTTATATCAGTCCAACTGATCGTGTTTGTTTGAGGTGAAGTATATAAATAAATTTGACTTTGACTTCAGATCATCAAACAGCTGAAAGGATGTTTTATGTTTTCATGTTTTTATGTCGACTCTTCGATTTCACTGAAATGTCAAACTGATCAGTCTGTTCATGTTTATCACTCATTAAATCCAGTTCAGTCAGACTCCTGTGTGACCTTCTTGTGAGAGTCATTCAATAATAATATCCTTAAAAATCTTGTTCATGTGACTTTCACCCCCAATTTTCACCGCATCCTGAACGGCTCCGATCCGGAACGGCAGCAATTTTCCCCGTCCACTAATACCCACCAGATCAGTTTGTGAGGCGGATTTCGTGGCAGATTACAGACAGCGGTAATCATGAAAAATCTCAAGAACCCACGGATTCACGTTCAATCGCGCGATAACGAGTTGTCTCTATAAAAACAGATACATAGACATATAAGCAGTTGATTGTGTCCTTCCAGAGGAGGAAATCTATTTCTAGACTTGTAGAATCAGCGTCTCCTCATCCATGGTGTCATCGGGGTGAAATGACGTCTAAAAACCTTTCACTTGTTCGTCTCTGCCCGTTTGCATGGTGTGAAATACGATCCGCCTGAAACACAGAGTGTTTTATTTCAAAAAGAAGCTGGATGTTTTATTTTGTGTCTGTGCCCGACTTCCTTTCCAGCATGGGTTAATCTGTGCTGAATTTATCTGGCATGCTCCGGCGTCCAGAAAAAATAGAACTCTTGTGATCAGCTGTGGAGTCCGGCGATCCTCAGAGGAACGGAAAGAAGCCAGTGGAAATTGACACGTTAACTTGAATGGTTACGATCAACTACGATCGGAGGATACAAACTTTTAGTAGACGTTCAGGATGCAGTGGAAATTGGGGGTTAGGAGCATCAGGACTCTGTAGTTGGATCACCGCATGGGCTAAATATCACTTGTCTGTAAACTGTCCTGAGGTCTGATGGATCAAAATCTAACACTCTTTTGAAAAAGGACAACTGGATTTACTTGGCAAATGTCTCAAGTAAGTCCAGTTGTCCTTTCAACAAAGAACTGGAAATCATAGATGCTGCATCCTTACTTTCAAAGAGTAGAGGGTCCACTCGGCTTGTTTGAGGTCAGTATTCAGAGGGTGTTTATTTCAGCGGTTGTGATTACAGTCTGATGTGATATCTGTCTCTCTTTTCGGGAAATTTGTCCTGACTTCAAGACTAAAATCTGTACAGACTCGGCTGTAGATCTGTGACAGTATAGGTTAATCTGTGCTGAATTTATCCGGCATGCTCTGGTGTCCGGAAAAAAATAGAACTCTTGCGATCAGCTGTGGAGTTTGGCAATCCACGGAGGAACGGAAAGAAGCCGGTGGAAATTGACAAGTTTACTTGAATGGTTACGATCAGCTATGATCGGAGGATACAACCTTTTAGTAGACGTTCAGGATGAAGGTGGAAATTGGGGGCAACTGTTTCTTCATCATCGATAATCTAATTAGCCAGTTCTGAGTTGTTTTTCATTTTACCCACAGAAATCATAAAGTCAGACTTTTCGACTTTCATGAGTTTCAAAGTCTGACTACAGCAGGAGGGATGATGATGATGATGGGATGATGAACACATGAATGCTCTAATTTGACCGTGTTTTCATGTTTAACCCCCATTACTTGATTCTTTTATCCTTTACTTCTCCTTTCAGACTTAGATTAACCGTCTCATATATTGATCACATGACTCCAGTGTGTTTGAGTTTCAGCACTGACACAGTTCAACATTAAAACTGCGTAATGTTCCTTTATCAGTCGGCCCTCTTACTTTGACAGGCTCCTTCCAGCGGGTGGTTTCCTCCGGACCATTTCCCACTTTCAGTCTCACACTGGAAGATGCTGGCAGGAAGTGAGATCTGGTAACCATGGTGACAGACAAGGTCACAAGTCTGACGACCATCAACTGCAGGGTGGCAGACCAGTGCACCATGGGTTACGGCGGCAGGACAGAGAGGACCTGAAGAGAACGAGTGAGAAGACGTATCAGAGTCTCGGCAGTTCATCAGCTCTCCACCAGAGGGCGCTGTACGAGGCTCTTACGGTCACATGACAAGGTCCTTCCTGTCTGTCTAAGGGTTCGAGTCCCACCCACTTCCTGGCCATCTTCAGAGACACACCAACAGGAAGTGACATCACACTGCAGAGGAATGAAGGAGCCATCACGGCGACACTGAGAGCCTTTGAGCCGACACCAGCTGGGACCTGAACGCACCGCAGAGAGTTTACAGAGGGGGTCAGTGAACATATCGGAAACAGAGTGATTGTGTGTGTGTGTGTAAGTAAGTGTGTGTACATGTCATCTGTCCGTCGGCGCCCTTCACGGCCGTCTGCATCACTTCTCCAGTCTGAGGGTTGACACACCAGCCTGCAGTGCCCCCTGTCTGCAGCACAGAGAAACGACCGTCCTGGAACACAAACAAGGAAATCAGTCACAGCTCGGATTTTCAAAATAAAAGATAATCAAACACTGTATATTAAGATGTTGAGTTGAAAATGTTTTTTCTAATGCAGCTTTATCAACTTTATTTATTCCTCAGTTTAGTCTCTGTGTGTGTGTGTGTGTGTGTGTTAAGGGTGTGGAAAATAATCTAAATTAATCGATGCGCATGTGCGCGATGCGACTGCGTCGGCTCATTCACTGGGTATCGATGCAATTGACGGGATAAATCTAGATTCATCTAGATGCGTTGGTGGGTATCGGTAAAATCCGATGCAAGCGCCGTTTTATTCATGTTAAACTTCACCCAATCTGCTGTTCCCCAGGCGCATTGAATGCACCATCATTATTTCGCGTTTTGTATTGAATACGGACGGAAGCCGTGAGGGACATACAATGCACTACTAATAAAAACAGCATGGACCACGTTCAAGTGAGCAGCAGCGAGGAAGAGTTTATATGTAATGCACCCGCTACGTTTAAATCATATGTTTGGAAACACTACGGATTTGCAAAGAAAGACAGAAAGCTCGACAAAACGTCCGTCATTTGCAAAGAATGCCGCGTTAAGAAGCCGTACAACGGCAGCACGACAAACATGCAGACCCACTTAAAAAGAGTACACCACATCAAGTGTAACGCCACCTTCCCTCCCTTAACATTGATTGCACTGTTGAAAGTGTCACTTTAGGTTACTCATTGAGAGTGTTTTGTGGTTGCTGTTTACTGTACTTTTTACAGCAGTAATTATTGTGTAATTGTTTTACTCTTTTATTATTGCAGAACTCACTCAAATCACTGATTTTCAGTGGCCAGTTAGAAAGTCAACTCTAGCACATTGGTTTGGCAGACAGTAGTATGGCCACTGAATGGTTTATTTGCACCATGTTAGGCAGTGCATTAGTTGTTTAATAATGTGTACTGTAATATTACCCAACAAGTATAGAGCACTTGTGTGATGTAGGGTTAGGATTGGAATCCTTTTTTTTTTTTTTTTTGATTTTATTGATTCAGATTCCTTAACAGTTGCAGGAGGTCTGTCTAATCTGTGTAACTGTACAAAATGGAACCCAAAGGAGCATAGAAAAAAGACAAAAAGCACTTTTGTTGAATTTACTGCCTTAAAGTGCCTTTAAGGAATAAAGCCAAATCATTTTTGTAGTACCATACTGAATTCCATCTTTTATTTTTATTTCTTTTTTTTCTTTGCTTATTTGCATCATGTTGAATTGCATCATAACGCAACAAATTGCATCATATCGTATCGGATCGCATTGATTTGAACTAAATGATTATCGTATCGTATCGCATTGTGAAGAGGGTGAATCGTATCGCATCGTATCGCCAGAAAATTCCATGTATCGTTAAAGTATCGTATCGCTGGCAGTGCATTGAGATGCGTATCGAATCATCCTCAGTGCTGAGATTCACACCCCTAGTGTGTGTGTGCGTGTGTATATGTGTGTGTGTGTGTGTCGTCCTACCTCCTCACACTGCGGGCTGTAAGGTGATGCTGCTGTGATGTCATAGCTTTTTAACCAACCAGAGAGCATCATGTGTGCCTGGGCTCTCTGACAGCGAGTCAGACCTGCAGGAGAGAAAAAGGTGAAGACAGAGCTGAATCTGTGTGTGTGTGTGTGTGTGTGTGTGTGTATGTGTGTGTGTGTTTTCTCACATTTCGGCAGCTGCAGTGATCGGCTGCTCAGAGTGTTTTGGACATACTCTCCCTCTTCATCGACACACCAACACTGACCTGAACACACACAGAAAGCTTCAATTTAAAGGACACTTCTGCAGCTTTAACTTGTGCATAAGTGTGTGTGTGTGTGTGTGTGTGTGTGTGTGTGTGTGTGTGTGTGTGTGTGTGTGTATGTGTGTGTGTGTGTGTGTGATACCTGAGCTGTGGTAACACTGTGTGTGCAGCCAGTGTCCGTCAGCGTCACACTGAGGAGTGAACGGCTGATAGGAGCGATGATGAGGAGGAAGAAACATCTGCACAGCTGAAAAAACAGAAAATAAATTTTTTTGTGTTTTTTATTATTTTATCAAATATTTTGATCTTTATCATGGAGTGTGTTCATGGATATCAGCTGATATCCATGAACACACTCCATGTCAATGTCAGCTTTATTTATATAGAGCATTTAAAAACAGCCAGTGGCCTACGAAAGTGCTTTACAGTAAAATAGCCAGAGACAGTAAACAATAAAAAACTATAAAACAATAAAAGCATAAAACATATAAAAACATAAGACAACAATAAAGATAAACAAAAAAAAATAAAATACCCAATAAAAGTAACTATACTTCCCTAAAATCTAAAGTGAACAGGTGCGTCTTCAGAAGTGTTTTAAAAGTGGAAAGGCTGTTAGCAGTACGCACTGTCAGGGGGAAAGCGTTCCACAAAGTTGGTGACTGAACAAGATGACCTCTGTTTTGTTTTCATTTAATGTTAAAAAATTAAGATCCATCCATGTCTTTACATTACTCATGCAGTTAAGCATGACCTGCAGAGAGTCTTTGGTTGGGACCTTCACAGGCAAATACACCTGCACATCATCAGCAAAACAGTGAAAAGGAACACCATGCTTTCTAAAAATTGACCCCAAGGGTAGCATATAGAGGGAGAATAGTAGGGGACCCAGAACTGACCCTTGGGGGACCCCACACATCAGAGGGACAACTGTGGAAGAAAACTGGCCCATGTGCACAGAGAAAGATCTCTCAGAGAGGTATGATCTGAACCAGCTCAAAGCGGTGCCTATGATGCCTACACAATGTTCAAGGCGTGATAGGAGGATTGAGTGATCCACCGTGTCAAACGCTGCTGTCAGGTCAAGGAGGATTAAAAAGGCACAGTTACCAGAATCAAGGTTTGACAAAAGATCATTCAAAACTTTTAAAAGAGCAGTTTCAGTGCTGTGATGAGACTTAAAACCAGACTGAAACATTTGCCCCTTGAAAAAAGAGAGAGACAACCTTTTCTAAAACCTTGGAAATAAAAGGGAGTTTGGATATTGGCCTAAAATTGGACAAAACCAAGGGATCCAAGTTTTTCTTCTTCAAGAGAGGCTGCACTGTGGCATGTTTGAAGGAGGAAGGCACACTTCCAGAGCTGAGACACCGATTAATGAGAGTCAAATGCTGCGTCCAAATTGCCAAGTAGTAGTCGAAGTAGTATGTAGCATGTCCGAATTGGCCACCGGAGCGAGTAGCATGCTACTTCAGATACTACTTCAGATACTAGACACGCTCACATTGTAGGATGGTCGCGGTGCATCCTACGGGCGTGCTACTGACCCAAAATGCACAGCGGGCTTCTTCTTCGTCCTCTTAAAAGTTGTAGAAGCGCATGTTATGCGCCACCAGCTGCTCTGCCTATTTAAATGTGTCGCGAACGCCGGCTGGCCACAGCAGTGCGCACCATGGCGGAGCAGCAGCAGCAGCAGGAGGCAGGACCACAGCAGTACAGATGTAATTTTAATGTAACTTCACACACTGTCCTAAAAAAATGTGCGGTTGTATCTCTTTGTCATGTCATGGTGTCATATTTGCCCAAGTAATCATTGTATGAGCAAACATGTGGCGACATCATGGAGGTAAAGCTCACTTATTCCATCATTAAACTGCACAGCTGCACTAATCAGGCAGATCTCATTGAACAAACGATCACCACGTGAGTGAATGAAGGCTAAAAGTAATGGAAAAGCTACTTTGTGAATTTCTAAAGCAGTGCAGGAATATAATACAGCAGCATCCATCACTTGCACAATTACCATTCAGAGTCTAAAACGGGCGCAGTACCTACTCTCTGCCTGCAGGGGTCGTCTTTCCCCACCGCTCGTCTAGTGTGTCTGAATTGGGCCAACGTGTTTAGTATGTAGGAGTAGGATCTAGCAGTAGCACGTAGCAGTAGCATGTAGTATGCGAGCGGGCAATTCGGACACAGCAAAAATAAAAGACTGAACTGTACCTCCTTGAACAAACAGGAAGGAATGCTATCAGATGGACTGTTAGCAGGACGTAAGCTTACCACCACCACAAAGTCCTCACAGAGACAAGATGAAGGCTCAACACAGACAGCATCACAGGGTTTTACTAAAGAGTCAAATACATTAAAAAGAACCTGCGGTTTGTGAGCATTAGAGGCGACAAGTGAGGAAAAATACTCTGTTTGACAGTGACTCACTGGAGAAGGCAGCCAATCTCAGGGCAGCTTTGGAGTAACTCAGCAGCCTATTGGTGATCTGCAGCGCCTCCTCTGATTGGCTGATCTGAAGCTCCTCTGGGGTCAGAGGCAAACCTTTAGCCAATAGGAATCCATATCCAAGAGGGAAGTGGGAGGAGTTAGAGAGAGTGATGATGTCCGCCACTTCCTGTCTAAAAGCCGTGACCTCAGCTAATGCTAGGGAGCAGCTACCTGCAATAAGCATGAGATCCATGGTTAGCATCAGAGGATGAGTAGCATCAGAGCAACAGTTAGCATCAGAGCAATAGTAAGAATCAGAGTGATAGTTAGCATCAGAGTGATAGTTAGCATCAGAGCGATAGTTAGCGTCAGAGTGACAGTTAGCATCAGATCAGAGTTAGCATCAGAGCACAGTTAGCATCAGAGAGATTGTTAGCATCAGAATGATAGTTAGCATCAGATTAGAGTTAGCATCAGATTAGAGTTAGCATCAGAGCAACAGTTCGCATCAGAGCAACAGTTAGCATTAGAGTGATTGTTAGCAACAGATCAGAGTTAGCATCAGAGTGACAGTTAGCATCAGAGAAAGAGTTAGCATCAAAGCAACAGTTAGCATCAGAGCAATAGTAAGAATCAGAGTGATAGTTAGCATCAGACTGATAGTTAGCATCAGAGCGATAGTTAGCGTCAGAGTGACAGTTAGCATCAGAGCAGATTAAGCATCAGATCAGAGTTAGCATCAGTGCACAGTTAGCATCAGAGAGATTGTTAGCATCAGAATGATAGCATCAGATTAGAGTTAGCATCAGAGCAACAGTTCGCACCAGAGAAACAGTGAGCATCAGAGTGATAGTTAGCATCAGATCAGAGTTATCATCAGAGTAACAGTTAGCATCAGAGAGATGATTAGCATCAGATCAGAGTTAGCATCAGAGCACAGTTAGCATCAGAGAAACAGTTAGCATCAGAGGATAGTAAGCATCACATCAGAGATAGCATCAAAGCACCAGTTCGCATAAAAGCATCAGTTAGCATCAAAGCAACAGCTAGCATAAAATCAGAGTTAGCATCAGAGCTATAGTTAGCATCAGAATGATAGTTAGCATCAGACTAGAGTTAGCATTGGAGCAACAGTTAGCATCAGAGCGATAGGTAGCATTAGAGCCATAGTTAGCATCAGATCAGAGTTAACATCAGAGCAACAGTTAGCATCAGAGTGATAGTTAGCATCAGATCAGAGTTAGCATCAGATCATCAGAGCAAAGAATCATCTTTTTTTGTGGTGTATTTACAAAAATCTTTTAATTTCAGTCAATAGTTTTAAGTTATTGATGACATTTGGGAATATAACAATATCTCTGTGTTCTTTTATATCTGTATTGTCAACATTTTTACATTTTTGAGCGGTCCGCTCTTTCTGACTGTTAATTAAGCCGTTCTCCACCTAACCCGACCTGGTCGGTTGTGAGGCAGACGCTGCTCCCCCGTGTCGTTCAAGAGCCCAAACAAAGTTAGAGAGCCCAAACAAAGTTAGCGTGCCAACCAGAAACCAACCAGAAAGTTCGGAAAATAGTCTCAATACTCCTTTGGCCACGACTTCCGACACAAGCAAGAAAACAAAGTAAATACCAGAGACTCTGGCGGAATAACAGTTGCTTAAAACAGAGGTAGACCGGACAAGATCTAAAAAGACAGATCAACATAAATGATGGGGGACGCTTTGGGATCTTGCTGACCCTGTAGGCTTTCTGCTGGACATGTAAACCGCTTTAACAAAGTAAGCCAAGTGTCTGTAACATAAGTGTTACTTGTCAAACGGGACCTGCTGCGATCCTATAACTTCTCCTACCTTTTTGTGCCGTCACCTGGATTTCACCTGTGTTGGGAGGCCACCGCCCCAGGCCTTAGGCAAAAACTTGGCTTGGCTCGCCACTTATATTGTCGAATTCATAGATGCAGAGGTGCAAAAATGAACAAAAATGCAGGATTTTATTTTAGTTACAGCATCAAACACCACTGATGACAATCTTGTTTAATGAACAGACTGAAGACGGACAGTAAAAGCCCCAAAAATCCCAAGAACTGTTCCTTCGTTGCTTTCTTTTACTGCCCCAATAGCGTCATTACTCTTAAGGTCTTTTCACACCGGGACCGTTTTTGTCGTGCAATTATTTCGGACATCAATATTTTTTCTCAGACCCATATCCTGTCAATACAAGCATTCACATCAGCCACATTTTCCCATCCTGCGATATTGCGGCATTTATTTTTTCAGATCATGGTTGATTTTTCTAAAGTTTCGCATACTGCGTGTCCACTTCTGACCAATCAGATTTTGTGTTGTTGCGACATCAGATTCACCAATATATCCAACATAGCTGACTGGCTGATTGTTCACGTGTCGGAGAACAGAGTGCTTTTTGATAAAAGACAGATAACGACCTGAAGGACAACTTGTAGAGAGTCATAGCGTCGGATTTCTCATATGACGATGGTTTGTGTGCTTTAACAGTTTGCTATATGTCTTTGTTATAACTTTCATGTGTGCTAACGTATGCTAACGGTTATTACCATAGTTTCATGCGATTATCTTATTGCCTCTGATTGGCTATAAGTGCTGACCATTTGGCTTAAGCATGTGATGACGTTTCCAGCTTTTCTAGCCAATCAGAGGCGAAGAAGGTGGGACTTTCCCCGGGAAAAGTCTTTCCTGGAATGCGTCTTTTTCCACCTGGAAAGTCGCAAAATCGCATCGGGCTTGATGTGTATAGTCAGGCGCGTCAAAATTCGCCTCCGAATATTTCATAATTTTGCGTTCTATATTCGCGTCGGCCACGGTGTGTAAGGACCTTTATTCCTATATGCAGCCCACACATTGCTGTCTGATAGCCAACAACGTGACCTCTTCTATAAACATGCACATATTTTTGCTGGTCGGCTCTGCCAATTTTCCTCTTTGGACTCGAGATAACAATTATTCTTGTGTGGAAAGTTCACCATGACCTGGACTCTGGCTGTGTCCTGTATCCTGTTTTGCAATAACTTTGCTCATAAACGTGTATTATTCGCTCCCACAGTTGTAGCACTGTTGTAGAAACTGTTGACCTGGACTGTGTCACTTTATCCTAGTTGTAGAAGTCCTGCAAACATTGTTGTGTCGTATGGCACCCACCCATTTCTCTCTCCTGTGACCAACTTTTTAACCAATTTTAACCGGTTTTAAACAACTTTTAAGACTGCATTTTAAGAGTTTGTTGGCTTTTAAGTTGAACTTTTACTGTGTATGGGTTTTTATTTCATTTTACTTTATTTTATTTTATTTTATCTGTCGTAGCGGAGGTGGCACACTGGACGTCCTCATCCCCGGGCGCCTGATGGGGAGGACAAGTCCACGGAGCCAGCCGCCCCCCTCAGGCAACAGGCCACGACACTAGTCATCGGGGACTCCATCATTCGGCACGTCCGTCTGAGGGGAGCGTTCACCCCGTCCTTTCCCGGCGCCACTGTTGCAGACATCACTGAGAAAATCCCAAGCACCCTGAATTCACATCCACAGGTAAGCAGGGTCGTCATACATGTGGGCACCAATGACACCTCCAGACAACAGCCCAAGCTTTTAAAGCGTGATTTCACACAGCTTTTTAACAAACTCTCACGGCCCCAGCTGCGCAACTTTATCTTCAGCCCCACTCCCACCTGTGGCAGAGGTATTGGGCACTTCACCAGGCTGCTAAGCCTGAACACCTGGCTCTCATCAGCCTGCAGAACCCACAATGTCGGCTTTGTTGACAATTTCGATGTTTTTTGGGAGAGGAGACATCTTTTTGACTCGGATGGTCTTCATCTTAATACAGCTGGCACCTGCATGCTGGCCGCCATCCTGGCTGCCATCCTGGCATACGGTCCACAACTTGCTCAACTCTCACTTTCCTCCCATCACCCCAAACGTACACTGACTGACCTTTCTGCCACTGATTGATGTCCCCCAGGTCCCAGTTCCTATGATTTTAGTTCCACCTCTGTCACACACAATACTGGACTTGGATCCTCTCTTTTCATTAACCATTCACCCATTCCTGTCATAATCACCCAGCAAGAGACTACCAGACTCCATCACGTACACTCTGTGAACTTCACTAACCTTAGACCTCTCCCCAAACATCAACAATCTTACCACACAATCTGTAAATCACCTGTCAACATTAACATAGCACTTTTAAACATTCGCTCTCTTTTAAACAAATCTTTCATTGTCCATGACCTGATTTTAGACAAGGTTGATTGTCTGTTTTTAACTGAAATGTGGCTGGGTACAGACGCGCCAATTGTTCTCACTGAGACCTCCCCACCTAATTTTGACTTTACGTTCTCTCTTAGAAGTGGCAGGAAAGGTGGTGGTACTGCATCAATAATCAACAACTCACTAAGCACAAAAGAAATACAATTCGATCAGTACACCACCTTTGAACATCATGCAGTTGTTTTTAACAGTCCCTCAATTTTTTGTATAACTGTTTACAGACCACCAAAACATGATGTTGCTTTTATCAGTGAATTTTCTGAATTTTTAGCAATAATCCATGCCACTTACAATTTTATTATTATATGTGGTGATTTTAATTTACACATAGACAATTCATCTGATTCAATGGCAAAAGAGTTTTTAAATCTACTTAGTTGCTTGGATTTTATACAACACGTCACACAGCCAACTCACAACAGAGGACACACCTTGGATCTAGTCCTCAGCTATGGCCTGTCAGCCAGTGTGTCCTCTGTTGCTGACCTGGCTGTGTCGGACCATTATTGTGTGTTTTTTAATATCACCAGTTTTGTTCAGTGGGAGACCTCGGTGGGAACTGTCAGGAAATGCTACTTTAAATCAGAAGTGGCTGCAAATTTTATCGCGATCTTGAGCAAGCATCCCTCAGCTACTCTACCTGCATCCTGTGATTTTATTGTTCAACATTTTATCAACAAACTTGAAACCACACTCGACCTTGTAGCTCCACTGAGAACAAAAAAGGTACTGCCTAAGTGCACACCGCCGTGGAGAAATGAGGAAATCAAAAAACTAAAAAGAAATTGCAGGGTAGCTGAGCAGAGTTGGAGGAAAAATAAAATCACAATTAATCATCGAATGTACTGCAAGCAACTGAAAATGTACAATAAAGCTCTCAGACACACAAGATCCACCTATTTCACGAACATAATCACGGATCATAAAAATAACCCTAAAATCCTCTTTGCTACAATTGATCTTTTAATCAACCCGGTTTTTAACAGATATCAAATCACTCCTTCAGACACACTTTGTGAAGGTTTTGCAGACCACTTCAGGGGTAAAATTGATTTTATACGATCCTCTATTTTATCCATTCAAAACACTGTTTCTAATACAGTGGAAAGCTTGTTTTTACCTGAGGAAACACTGGACAGTTTTGCCCTGGTTGATGCTGAGATGCTTGGTAGAGTTTTTTCCCAAATAAAACCAACAACCTGCCTTTTAGACCGAATTCCCACATCACTTTTTAAAATATTTTATGGATTCTTTGAAGGTGAGCTTTTAAATATAGTGAATTGTTCTCTTCAGACAGGCTCTTTCCCTGCTGCCCTTAAAACGGCAGTAGTGAGACCCCTGGTCTGTAGTAATAACTACAGACCAGTGTCCAGCTTACCATTTTTAAGCAAAATTTTAGAAAAACTTGTTTTTATTCAGTTGAATGATTTTTTAAATAACCGTTCCATTCTGGAGAAATTTCAATCTGGATTTAGGACAAACCACAGTACAGAGACTGCACTACTGAAAATTGTTTATGATCTTAGGTGCAACTTGGACTCACATAAGCTTACAGTCCTTGTGCTACTGGATCTAAGCACTGTTTTTGATACAGTAGATCACACAATTCTTTTAAATAGACTATGGCACCTTGTAGGCCTCTCTGGTACTGCCTTTCAGTGGTTTAACTCCTATCTCACAGATCGAAAGTTTCTTGCAAGTTTGGACACATGCTCTTCAAAGATTCATAGCATTAAATGTGGTGTGCCCCAAGGCTCAATTTTAGGCCCCATACTTTTTAATTGAGTGGGATTGCAAAGCATTCCCACTATATGTTATTCATATCTTTATCGAGTGGGATTGCGAAGCATTCCCACTATATGTTATTCATATCTTTATTATTGAGTGGGATTGCGAAGCATTCCCACTATATGTTATTCATATCTTTATTGAGTGGGATTGCGAAGCATTCCCACTATATGTTATTCATATCTTTATTATTGAGTGGGATTGCGAAGCATTCCCACTATATGTTATTCATATCTTTATTATTTTTCTTATTATAGCAACTTCCACCGTTTTTTGAACCTTAACTACTTCCACATACTTCAACGTATTCAAACCATTCAAACTTCAAAAGATTCATCTCATTCAGGAGATTCCGGCTTGTATTCAAAAATTTCCAAACATTCATACTTTCCGAGATATTCCAGGTTTTCCGACCGATTTCTCCCATTGGAAATGCATTACGGAATGTTCAAATTGGCCCTTTTCTCACATTTTCTTCACACAACTTCAAAAGCCTTCAACTCCTCTATACTTCCACGTAGAAACTTCATTCAAAAACCAAAATATTCACAAATTTGTCAGCATCATTCCACATCTTCAACCTTTATAATCCCATTTGTACTTTTCAAAATATTAAGATCTGTTTAAAACTTCGTTATAATGGGATTCAATGGGAAAAGGCTTTCAGACGTAGTCAACTTCAACCTCTTCTCATTCATTCATACTTTCACCTAGAAACTTCATTCAAACTTTAAAATATTCACACATCTTCAGACATTCACTCATTCATTCACCATCTTCATGGCATTCATACTTTTCTCACAGAGACAGTTCAAAAAGTCCAAAGATTTTCTAACCTGTTCAGGTTTTAACATTAGTGTGTATTGCACGGAATGTTGGCCGCTAGAGTGGGTGACCTCACAGCTAGAGTGAGACAGGCTGAAAATTGATCCTCAAAACTTTGTCTTTACAAAAGGATTGTGGCAACTCACTTCGCTCTACAAAGATAAAAATTGGTACAGTGATGGCAAAACTCGCTGTCACTCTTCATCTAAAAAATCAAAGCCATAGGACACACACAGTGGCCTGGGCAGACACCAACTGCCGCAGACATCCCCCAGATTTCTCCAGCTTTCTCCATTGACTCCAATGTAAACCTGAGAGGAGGATTTTCAGAGGAAACACAAACTGGACATGTTTTTAACTTGTCGTAGCGAAGGCATTTTTGGCTCCACAAACACCAAAGTTGTATCAACGTGTTCAGCCGGGCCTTGTGGTTGTCACAAGCTCCTGATCATGAAGATAGCCATTACAGAGGATGAGAAATATGACGTTGTTTGGGCATTACGTTCTCAGCCACAAGCCTCCTTTCTCCTGCTGTTGTTAAGCATCTATTGTCACCATGGCAACCAATAAGAGCACCTGGAGACACACAGCTGGCTGGAAAGCTGCTTCTAACTGCCATATGAGACACATAAAGCCAGGCTCAGTACACAGAGTACTGGGGGTGACATTTAAAACCCTTCAGTAGAGTTATTTGACGAAATTTGTCATTTATCTCTTTGCACAAACCTTGAGCTACAGAAACCATCCAGGGCTTAATAAATTCAGCTCATTGAGGACATTATGGGGACTAATCAGGATTTTTATTCATTTACATTGTCCCCATTTTTCAATCATTCATTGAAAATGCATTATTTAACTCTTCCAACTAATTTAAACTCCTTCAAACTGATTTAAACCGTTTTGATTCTTCAAACCTCTTTTTCTTCCAGATTTGTAACCTTTTAATTTTCCAGTTTTAAATCATGTTTTACTCTTAATGCATTATTCAGTTCTTTCAAACAAATTACAACTCATTTGAACTGATTCAAACCTTATTGATTCTTCAAGCCTTTCCCATGCTTCATGGCTTTTAATCATTTTAATTTTCACACATTGAATTTTCAAAATTATTATTCATGCATTATTCAATTCATTCAACAGAGTTTATTCAAACTGATTCAAATCTTCCTGATACTTCATACCTTTTGACCTTTCACTAATTTTTAAAATTCAGCCATTCGCAATAGCAGCTTAGCGATAGCAATTTCAACTGAAGCAATCCCACTCGCAATTTCTTCAGAAATTGCATTTTCTAGTTTTTCTTATTATAGCAACTTCCACCGTTTTTTGAACCTTAACTACTTCCACATACTTCAACGTATTCAAACCATTCAAACTTCAAAAGATTCATCTCATTCAGGAGATTCCGGCTTGTATTCAAAAATTTCCTAACATTCATACTTTCCGAGATATTCCAGGTTTTCCGACCGATTTCTCCCATTGGAAATGCATTACGGAATGTTCAAATTGGCCCTTTTCTCACATTTTCTTCACACAACTTCAAAAGCCTTCAACTCCTCTATACTTCTACGTAGAAACTTCATTCAAAAACCAAAATATTCACAAATTCGTCAGCATTTTTCCACATCTTCAACATTTTTAATCCCATTTGTACTTTTCAAAATATTAAGATTTGTTTAAAACTTCGTTATAATGGGATTCAATGGGAAAAGGGCTTCAGACGTAGTCAACTTCAACCTCTTCTCATTCATTCATACTTTCACCTAGAAACTTCATTCAAACTTTAAAATATTCACACATCTTCAGACATTCACTCATTCATTCACCATCTTCATGGCATTCACACTTTTCTCACATTGACAGTTCAAAAAGTCCAAAGATTTCCTGACCGGTTCATATTTTAACATTAGTGTGTATTGCACGGAATGTTGGCAGCTAGAGTGGGTGACCTCACAGCTAGAGTGAGAGGGGCTGAAAATTGATCCTCAAAACTTTGTCTTTACAAAAGGATTGTGGCAACTCACTTCGCTCTACACAGATAAAATTTGGTACAGTGATGGCAAAACTCGCTGTCACTCTTCATGTCAAAAATCAAAGCCATAGGACACACACAGTGGCCTGGGCAGACACCAACTGCCGCAGACATCCCCCAGATTTCTCCAGCTTTCTCCATTGACTCCAATGTAAACCTGAGAGGAGGATTTTCAGAGGAAACACAAACTGGACATGTTTTTAACTTGTCGTAGCGAAGGCATTTTTGGCTCCACAAACACCGAAGTTGTATCAACGTGTTCAGCTGTGTCTTGTGGTTCTCACAACCTCCTTGTCATGAAGACAGCAGTTACAGAGGATGAGAAATATGACGTTGTTTGGGCATTACGTTCTCAGCCTCAAGCCTCCTTTCTCCTGCTGTTGTTAAGCATCTATCATCACCATGGCAACCAAAGGGAGCACCTGGAGACACACAGCTGGCTGGAAAGCTGCTTCTAACAGCCATATGAGACACATGAAGCCAGGCTCAGTACACAGAGTACTGGGGGTTACATTTAAAACCTTATGGGGTCTAATCAGGATTTTTATTCATTTACATTGTCCCCATTTTTCAATCATTCATTGAAAATGCATTATTTAGTTCTTCAAACTAAGTGATTTCCTTCAAACTGATTTAAACCGTTTTGATTCTTCAAACCTCTTTTTCTTCCAGATTTGTAACCTTTTAATTTTCCAGTTTTAAATATTTTTTACTCTTAATACATGATTCAGTTCTTTCAAACAAATTCCAACTCATTTGAACTGATTCAAACCTTATTGATTCTTCAAGCCTTTCCCATACTTCAGGGTTTTTAATCATTTTAATTTTCACATGTTGAATTTTTAAAATTATTATTCATGCGTTATTCAATTCATTCAACAGAGTTTATTCAAACTGATTCAAATCTTCCTGATACTTCATACCTTTTGACCTTTCACATATTTTAAAATTCAGCCACTCGCAATAGCAACGTAGCGCTAGCAATTTCAACTGAAGCAATCCCACTCGCAATTTCTTCAGAAATTGCATTTTCTAGTTATTTTTCTTCTTATTATAGCAACTTCCACCGTTTTTTGAACCTTAACTACTTCCACATACTTCAACGTATTCAAACCATTCAAACTTCAAAAGATTCATCTCATTCAGGAGATTCCGGCTTGTATTCAAAAATTTCCTTACATTCATACTTTCCGAGATATTCCAGGTTTTCCGACCGATTTCTCCCATTAGAAATGCATTACGGAATGTTCAAATTGGCCCTTTTCTCACATTTTCTTCACACAACTTCAAAAGCCTTCAACTTCTCTATACTTCCACGTAGAAACTTCATTCAAAAACCAAAATATTTACAAATTTGTCAGCATCATTCCACATCTTTAACCTTTATAATCCCATTTGTACTTTTCAAAATATTAAGATCTATTTAAAACTTCGTTATAATGGGATTCAATGGGAAAAGGCTTTCAGACGTAGTCAACTTCAACCTCTTCTCATTCATTCATACTTTCACCTAGTAACTTCATTCAAACTTTAAAATATTCATACATCTTCAGACATTCACTCATTCATTCACCATCTTCATGGCATTCATACTTTTCTCACAGTGACAGTTCAAAAAGTCCAAAGATTTTCTAACCTGTTCAGGTTTTTACATTAGTGTGTATTGCACGGAATGTTGGCCGCTAGAGTGGGTGACCTCACAGCTAGAGTGAGAGGGGCTGAAAATTTATCCTCAAAACTTTGTCTTTACAAAAGGATTGTGGCAATTCACTTCGCTCTACACAGATAAAATTTGGTACAGTGATGGCAAAACTCGCTGTCACTCTTCATCTAAAAAATCAAAGCCATAGGACACACACAGTGGCCTGGGCAGACACCAACTGCCGCAGACATCCCCCAGATTTCTCCAGCTTTCTCCATTGACTCCAATGTAAACCTGAGAGGAGGATTTTCAGAGGAAACACAAACTGGACATGTTTTTAACTTGTCGTAGCGAAGGCATTTTTGGCTCCACAAACACCGAAGTTGTATCAACGTGTTCAGCTGTGTCTTGTGGTTGTCACAAGCTCCTTGTCATGAAGACAGCAGTTACAGAGGATGAGAAATATGACGTTGTTTGGGCATTACGTTCTCAGCCTCAAGCCTCCTTTCTCATGCTGTTGTTAAGCATCTATCGTCACCATGGCAACCAAAGGGAGCACCTGGAGACACACAGCTGGCTGGAAAGCTGCTTCTAACAGCCATTTGAGACACATGAAGCCAGGCTCAGTACACAGAGTACTGGGGGTGACATTTAAAACCCTTCAATAGCGTTATTTGACGAAATTTGTCATCTATCTCTTCGCACAAACCTTGAGCTACAGAAACCATCCAGGGCTTAATAAATTCAGCTCATTGAGGACATTGTGGGGTCTAATCAGGATTTTTATTCATTTACATTGTCCCCATTTTTCAATCATTCATTGAAAATGCATTATTTAGTTCTTCAAACTAATTTATTTCCTTCAAACTGATTTAAACCGTTTTGATTCTTCAAACCTCTTTTTCTTCCAGATTTGTAACCTTTTAATTTTCCAGTTTTAAATCATTTTTTACTCTTACTGCATTATTCAGTTCTTTCAAACAAATTACAGCTCATTTAAACTGATTCAAACCTTATTGATTCTTCAAGCCTTTCCCAAACTTCAGGGTTTTTAATCATTTTAATTTTCAAACGTGGAAATTTCAAAATTATTATTCATGCATTATTCAATTCATTCAATTGAGTTTATTCCAATTGATTCAAATCTTCCTGATACTTCATACCTTTTTACCTTTCACATATTTTTAAAAATTAGCCATTCGCAATAGCAGCTTAGCGATAGCAATTTCAACTGAAGCAATCCCACTCGCAATTTCTTCAGAAATTGCATTTTCTAGTTATTATTATTCCACCATTTTTTGGACCGCTACTCCGTCCACATACTTTAACGTATTCAAAACATTCAAACTTCAAAAGATTCATCTCATTGAGGAGATTCCGGCTTGTATTAAAAAATTTCCTTACATTCATACTTTCCGAGATATTCCAGGTTTTCCGACCGATTTCTCCCATTAGAAATGCATTACGGAATGTTCAAATTGGCCCTTTTCTCACATTTTCTTCACACAACTTCAAAAGCCTTCAACTCCTCTATACTTCCACGTAGAAACTTAATTCAAAAACCAAAATATTCACAAATTCGTCAGCATTATTGCACATCTTCAACATTTTTAATCCCATTTGTACTTTTCAAAATATTAAGATTTGTTTAAAACTTCATTATAATGGGATTCAATGGGAAAAGGGCTTTCAGACGTAGTCAACTTCAACCTCTTCTCATTCATTCATACTTTCACCTAGTAACTTCATTCAAACTTTAAAATATTCATACATCTTCAGACATTCACTCATTCATTCACCATCTTCATGGCATTCATACTTTTCTCACAGTGACAGTTCAAAAATTCACAGGATTTTCTGACCTGTTCAGGTTTTAACATTAGTGTGTATTGCACGAAATGTTGGCAGCTAGAGTGGGTGACCTCACAGCTAGAGTGAGAGGGGCTGAAAATTTATCCTCAAAACTTTGTCTTTACAAAAGGATTGTGGCAACTCACTTTGCTCTACACAGATAAAATTTGGTACAGTGATGGCAAAACTCGCTGTCACTCTTCATCTAAAAAATCAAAGCCATAGGACACACACAGTGGCCTGGGCAGACACCAACTGCCGCAGACATCCCCAACATTTCTCCAGCTTTCTCCATTGACTCCAATATAAACCCGAGAGGAGAATTTTCAGAGGAAACACAAACTGGACATGTTTTTAACTTGTCCTAGTGAAGGCATTTTTGGCTCCACAGACACAGAAGTTGTATCAACGTGTTCAGCCGGGTCTTGTGGTTTTCACAAGCTCCTTATCATGAAGATAGCAGTTACAGAGGATGAGAAATATGACGTTGCTTAGGCATTACGTTCTCGGCCTCAAGCCTCCTTTCTCCTGCTGTCGTCATGCATCTATCGTCACCATGGCAACCAATAAGAGCACCTAGAGACACACAGCTGGCTGGAAAGCTGCTTCTAACAGCCATATGAGACACATGAAGCCAGGCTCAGTACACAGAGTACTGGGAGTGACATTTAAAACCCTTCAATAGAATTATTCGACGAACTTTGTCATCTATCTCTTCGCACAAACCTTGAGCTACAGAAACCATCAAGGGCTTAATAAATTAAGCTCATTGAGGACATTGTGGGGTCTAATCAGGATTTTTATTCATTTACATTTCCCCCATTTTTCAATCATTCATTGAAAATGCATTATTTAACTCTTCAAACTAATTTAAACTCCTTCAAACTGATTTAAACCGTTTTGATTCTTCAAACGTCTTTTTCTTCCAGATTTGTAACCTTTTTATTTTCCAGTTTTAAATCATTTTTTATTCTTTATGTATTTTTCAGTTCTTTCAAACAAATTCCAACTCATTTAAACTGATTTAAACCTTATTGATTCTTCAAGCCTTCCCCATGCTTCAGGGTTTTTAATCATTTTAATTTTCACACGTTGAATTTTCAAAATTATTATTCATGCATTATTCAATTCATTCAATTGAGTTTATTCAAATTGATTCAAATCTTCCTCATACTTCATACCTTTTTACTTTTCACATATCTTTAAGATTCAGCCATTCGCAATAGCAGCTTAGCGATAGCAATTTCGACTGAAGCAATCCCACTTGCAATTTCTTCAGAAATTGCATTTTCTAGTTTATATATGCTCCCACTGGGAGATGTCATCAGGAGGCATGGTATCACTTTTCACAGCTATGCTGATGACACACAGCTCTACATATCCATGTCTCCTGATGACACAGGGCCAATCGATGCCCTTTTTAGCTGTATCCTAGACATTAAATCCTGGATGGCAGAAAACTTCCTACAGCTCAACCAGGACAAAACGGAGGTTTTAATTATTGATCGTAAGGCTCAGGGAGAGAAACTTTTAACAAAACTTAAAACCCTGTCTTTAATTTCAACAAATCAGGTAAAGAATCTGGGCTTCATCTTTGACTCTGAGCTGACTTTTATCCCACATATTAAAAATATAACAAAAACAGGGTTTTATCATTTAAAGAATATAGCCAGAGTCCCTTTCTCTCCGGGGCTATCACAGAGACGCTAATGCATGCTTTTATCTCCAGTCGTCTTGACTATTGTAACACCCTGCTTTCTGATCTTCCAAAAAGAAACATTGCAAGTTTACAACTGTTGCAAAACTCAGCAGCACATGTGCTGACAAAGACCAGAAGGTGGGCACACATTACACCGGTTTTAAAATCGCTGCATTGGCTCCCTGTGTGCTTAAGGATTGATTTTAAGGTCCTTTTAATGGTTTTTAAATGTCTTAGGGGTCTTGGACCTTCTTATCTTTCAGAATTGCTTTTACAATATGAACCCTCGAGGACTCTGAGATCCTCTGGCCTTTTAATAGTCCCCAAAGTGAGAACACGAACTTACGATGAGGCATCTTTCCAGCACTATGGCCCCCTTCTTTGGAATAGTCTGCCGGAGGACCTTAGGGCCGCAGAGAATGTTTATATTTTTATAAGCAGGCTCAAGACCCAACTATTTCATTTGGCTTTTGACTAATGTCTTATTGTTAATCTATATTTTTATCCTATTTTTATCTTATTTAATTTCATTTAATGTATTTTAGTCCTCATTTTACGTTATGTTTATTCTATTTATTTACTTATTTTTAAATGGTATTTTAGCTATTTATCAGTATTTTATAATTTTATCTAGTTTGATGTTTTTAGCTGATTTAGTTTATGTTTTTATTGCATTTCTCCAGTGTTTCCTCAGTAGGGGGGCCACCTGCACTGGAGGCTGTGACTGGCTCTGTCTAGGGTTTCTTTGCCTCGTGGTGTGCACTCAGCTCAGCCAGGTGGTGGTCTGCAGCAGTGCTTGCTGCTGTGGGCCCCTTACTGGCCTGTAGCGGGGTGTGCACCCGGGTGGAGGTGTCCTGGCCCTGGGCTGTGAGCAGCGTCCAGTGCAGTCGGCCTCCTGACGTTTCCCAACTTGGCTCCTCTGTACTTAGCCACACGCTTTTAAGATTGCATTATTTGTGTGTGTGTGTGTGTGTGTGTGTGTGTGTGTGTGTGTGTGTGTGTGTGTGTGTGTGTGTGTGTGTGTGTGTGTGTGTGTGTGATGGGGTGGGCTCTCGGTGAGGGTCGGGGGGTCAGGTGGCAGGCTGGATACGGGGGGGGGCTCATTGTTTTAAATTGTAAAGCAAGTGCTGCATTTCTTTTTGCCTGAAAAGTGCTATATAAATAAAGTTTGATTTGATTTGTGTTTGCTGGTAGTCTGTTGGCATTTACAGTAGCACCAATGCTTTTTACTTTCACGTTGACTGGGCCCCATCTGTAATTATCTTAAGTATTTATCTGGATTATATCTGAATTTAATTGGAACGATACGAGCAAGCAGGAGCGTCTGTTTGTGTGCGGGGCTTGCTTGAGCAGAGAGGGAGGGGAGAGAAGGAGCTGAGGGGAAAACTGGTTGGGAGGGGTAAAGTTTACATTCAAGATTCCTCCCAAAAACTGGAACCTCATCAGATCCTGACTACCCCACCTTCAATCTCTGAAATAACCAACAGGACCAAAGTCAGACCTGGACCCTGGATAGAAATCTCTGATCCAGATTACCTTAATCCAGATTACTGGACCCTGTTAATGACCTTATGTGTGTGTAAAAGGCGAGTGTAATGTTCGTGGTGACCTCTGACCTTCAGCCTTCGGTATTTCCCTTTCTGGACCTGAAACAGAGACAAAGTGAACTCAGAGGACAATTGTTTCAGGACCAAAGACCAGATCTGGAAACATGCTGGTAGGAAAGCTTACAGGACACAGCGCCCCCTGTTGGCTCGGCAGCCATTGTTTTCCCCTTAGTGTCGACGCAGAAACAGCGTGATCCGACACACTGCAGCGGCAGGAAGTCTCCGTCCTCTGAGCATACTGGGATGTGGATCTCTGCCCCAGCCGCCATGTTTCCTTTGACCTTTAAGGCCATGGCTCGCTCCCTCTCGCAGTGGGACGGACACCTAGGTTGGTGCCCGGAGACACGAGACCCTGCCACCTCCTGACCCTCAGAGTCGACACACCAGCAGTCCGTCCCCTGACACTGGACCTCCTGGAAACCGCCGCTGGTTGTGCAGCTGGGGATGAAGATGTCGTCCTTGTCTTCAGAGCAGGATCCCAGGAGAGGAGTCAGAACCTGAAGACAGAGACAACAGTAACCCCCAATTCTCACCGCATCTGGAACAGTGGCGATTTTTAGACAGTTCCTACCGGATTTGTTTATGAGGCGAATTTCGTGGCGGATTACACACAGCAGGAATCTATGTGGCTCAATATAAAGACAGCCACATAGATATAAGCAGTTGATTGTGTCCCTCCAGAGGAGGAAATCTACTTCTAGACTTCTAGAATCAGCATCTCCTCATCCATGCTGTCATTGGGGTGAAATGACATCTAAAAACCTTTCACTTGTTTGTCTCCACCCGTTTGCATGGTGTGAAATACGATCCTCCTGAAACACGGAGTGTTATATTTTGAAAAGAAGCCATATGTTTTATTTTGTGTCTGTTCCCTGACTTCCTTTCCAGCACAGGTTAATCTGTGCTCAATTATCTGGCATGCTCCAGTGTCCAGAAAAAATAGTCTTGTGATCAGCTGTGGAGTCTGGCGATCTGCAGAGGAATGGAAAGAGGCCGGTAGAAATTGACACGTTAACTTGAATGGTAACAATCAGCTAGTCACCGCATGGTCTTCATATCACTTGTCCGTGAACTGTCCTGAGGTCTGATGGATCAAAATCTAACACTCTTTTGGAAAGGACAACTGGACTTACTTGGCGAAACGTCTCAAGTAAGTCCAGTTGTCCTTTCAACGAAGAACTGGAAATCATAGATGCTTCATCCTTAGTTTCAAAGAGCAGAGGGTCTACTCAGCTAGTTTGAGTAGTAGTATTCAGAGGGTGTTTATTTCAGCTGTTGTGATTACAGTCTGATGTGATTTCTGACTCTCTTTTGGGGAAAATTGTCCCAACTTTAAGAGTAAAATCTGTACAGACTCGGCCGTAGATCTGTGACAGTACGACTCACGGGTTAATCTGTGCTGAATATATCTGGCATGCTCCGGCATCTGGAAAAAATAGAACTCTTACGATCAGCTGTGGAGTCCGCAGAGGAACAGAAAGAAGCTGGTGGAAATAGACACGTAAACTCGAATGGTTACGATTAGCTATGATCGGCGGATACGGCCTTTTTGTAGATGTTCAGGATGAAGGAGGAAATTGGGGATGAAGTCATCTGCAATCTGACCACAGAGCGCCAAACTGAATAAACGGATCTGTGAACAGACACGAATAACAGCTGACAGGATGCTGACAACAACCAAGACCCCCGATGATTTCGACTCTGTGTGAAATGGTGATAAAACTGGATCTGAAGATCTGCAGATCAGCTGAGGCAAACACAAATAAAAACAAAACAAATAAAAAACGTTGTAACTGTAAACAAACATGCAGTAATGTCATCAACTTTTATGGAGGTGAATGTCCAAAAGGTTAGTCACATGACCGGGTCTAAGACAGACCTTCAGAGAGGCGGAGTCTCTCAGAGGTTCAGGACTCTGTGAGAGACCATGTGAGCAAACAGTTCAACAGTTTCAGGATAAAGTTCCTGAGTGGATATCATCATCTACAGACAGGACTCTGAAGTGGAAATCACCGCAAGTATGTGTGTGTGTGTGCGTGTGTGCGTGTAAGTGTGTGTGTGTAAAGTGTATGTGAGTGTGTGTGTGTCTTGAAGACTTAAAAACAGGCAACAGTCCAGTTGCCTGTTTTTAAGTTTTCAAGATAACCATGACCTGGATGAATGAGAATCTACATGGACGTGTGTGTGTGAGAGTGTGTGTGTGGTTGTGTGTGTGTGTGTGTGTGTATACAAATGTGTGTGTGGTTGTGTGTGGTTGTGTGTGTGTGTGTGTATACAAATGTGTGTGTGTGTGTGTGTGTGTGTGTGTGTGTGTGTGAGTGTGTGTGTGTGTGTGTGTGTGTGAGTGTGTGTGTGTGTGTGTGTGTGTGTGTGTGTGTGTGTGTGTGTGTGTCTGATCTGACCTGGTCCAGTGGTTCAGACTCAGATGGGCTAAGTCCTCTGAGAGTCTGCTGAAGAGCTGACAGGAAGGCCGGGTCATCCAGAATCAGGCTCACAGTCAGGACCAGGTTCTGGTTCTTTTTGAGACTCTTGGTCTGAGCAGAAAGCGGGTCCAGACCCAGTGCCCCCTGATCTCCCACTGCCCCACTGAAGTTAAAGAAAGCGGCGCTCCTGAGGAACTTCCCTCCAAACAGGTTCTCTTGGAAACGAGGCGGCAAGGAGTGAGACAGAGCCTGCAGAGCCCCGCCCACTGAGGGGAAGAGACCATGGAGGACCTCCACCAGCTGAGACAGGAAGGAGGCGGGGTCAGTCTCCACCGGCAGGAGAGGACGGAGGAGGCAGGAGGACTGAGGTCTGTCAGGAGACACCTGGAAAGACGGATCAACAGGACCAGAGAAGAACCGGGACAGAGCAAGACGGCGCTGAGAGGGACAGTCCACAGGACCGGAATCTGAGGAGGAGGAGGAGGAAGAGGAGGAGGAGGAGGAAAAGTAGGAGGAGGAGAGAGGAAGAGAGAGGAGGAGGAGAGAGGAGGAGGAAGGGAGAGGAGGAGAACAGAGGGAGAAGGAAGAGAGGAGAGAGGTGGAGGAGGAGGAGGAGGAGAACAGAGGGAGAAGGAAGAGAGGAGAGAGGTGGAGGAGGAGGAGAAGGAGAGAGCAGAAGAAGGAAGAGAGGAGAAGGAGGAAAGCGGGGAGAGAGGAGATTGGAGGGGGAAGGAGGAGGCGATAGGAGGACAGAGAATGAGGAGAAGAGAGAGAGGAGGAGGAAAAGAAAAGGAGGAGGAAAGAGGAGCATAGAGGAGGAGGAAGAGAGGAGGAGGAGAGAGGAGGAGAGAGGTGGAGGGAGGAGGAGGAGAGGAGGAGAAGCAAAAAGGAGAGAGGAGAAGAGAGGAGGAGGATAGAGGAGGAGGAGGAGAGAGTTCAGAGAGGAGGAGAGAAAGAGGAGGAGGAAAGAAAGGGGAGGAGGAGAGAGCAGAAGGGGGAAAGAGGGAGGAGGAGGAGGAGAGAGGAGAGAGAGAGAGGAAAGAGAGAGAAGGAGGAAGGAGAGAGGAGGAGGAGAGAGTGGAAAAATAAGATCAAATATCAAAATGAGTTCAAAGGTCAAAGGCGGTCTGTCCTCAGAGGTCACTCACTGCAGAACAGGAAGTCCCCCTGCTGTCGGGTCCCAGGAACCTCCATCCCTGAAGGGTCCACACACCAGCACTGCCCCCCCTGCTGGCACTGCCGAGGACTGAAGGACCCTCTGAGGTCACAGGATGGAACAAAGACGCTGGATGCCGCCATCGCCGCCCGCCGCTCCTCTTCACAGGGCGAGGGGCCTGAGGGGGAGGTTGAGTTAAGTTACACCAGGTGAACCAGTTTAAATCAGTTAAGTCAAGTAAACCAATTTAAACCAGTTTAAACCATTAAAACTAATTAAACAATTTAAACCAGTTAAAACCAGTTAAACCAGGATAAAACAGGTTACACCAGGTGAACCAGTTTAAACCAGTTAAACCAGTTAAACCAGTTAAACCAAGTAAACCAATTTAAACCAGTTTAAACCATTAAAACTAATTAAACTATTTAAACCAGTTAAAACCAGTTAAACCAGGATAAACCAGGTTAAACCAAGTAAACCAGTTAAAACAGTTAAAACAGTTTAAACCAGTTAAACCAAGTAAACCATCAGACCAGGGGAATCATTTACATCTGAAGTGTCCGGTCAGGGCGAGGCGAACTCCCAGCATCCTTCTCTGCAGGACTTTGTAGATGTTGGTCTGAGAGAAGGAGCGACCTGATTGGACACCTGAGAAGGCCGAGTCATAGACTTCTGAGAGGAGAAGCTCCACACCTGGAGAAGAACGGGGGGGGGGGGGGCCTTAAGGTCATCGTCAGGGTTACCATAATCATCGTCATCATCATCATCTTCATCATGATCTGTGTGTGTGTGTGTGTACCTGTGTATGAACCTGTGTGTGTCTGTGTGTCTGTGTGTGTGTATTTCTGTGTGTGTCTGTGTGTGTACCTGTGTTAATAACTTTGTGAATCTGTGTGTGTGTACGTGTGTGTGTGTGTGTGTGTGTGTGAACATGTGTGTGTGTGTATACCTGTGTAGGAGTTTGTGTGTGTACATATGCGTGTGTGTGTGTATCTGTGTGTGTGTGTGTGTGTGTGTGTATACCTGTGTATGTGTATGTGTGTGTGCCTGTGTTTTTGTGTGTGTATGTGTATGTGTTTGTGTGTACCTATGTTTGTGTACCTGTGTGTGTACCTTTGTGTATTTGTATACCTGTGTGTGTGTACCTGTGAGTACCTGTGTGTACCTGTGTGAGTGTATTTTTGTGTATTTCTGTGTGTTTGTGTGTATTTCTGTGTGTTTGTGTGTATTTCTGTGTGTATACCTGTGTGTGTGTGTCCCTGTGTGTACCTGTGTGTGTGTGCGTGTGTGTGTTTGTGTACCTGAGTGTAAGTGTGTGTGTGTGTGTGTGTGTGTGTGTGTGTGTGTGTGTGTGTGTGTGAGTGTGTGTGTGTGAACCTGTGTGTGTGTGTGTGCCTTTGTGTGTGTGAGTGTATGTGTGTACGTGTGTGTGTGTGTGTATCTGTGTTTTTTTGTGTTTGTGTGTGTGTGTGTGTCTGTGTCTGTGTGTGTGTGTGTGTGCGTGCGTGTACCTGTGTTCTCCACCTCTCGTCCTCGGCTGTCTGAGCACGAACAGTAGGACGACACGCCGGGGAAAAACTTTCTAAAGCTGCTGAATGTCTTAAAGGCTTCTGGGAACCTGAGAGATGAACACATACACACACACACACACACGCACACACACACACACACACACACACACACACACACACACACACACACTCAGGTTAGTTTACGTCTTCATAAGTTCATTCCTCCATGATGAGAGGGTGAGTAAGGTGAGTCACCTGTTAAAGGCATGCAGCAGGTCCAGCTGTTTCTTGTCCGTCATGTTAATGAACTGACACTGAACAGGGAGGAAACCGCCATCTTCGCTGCACTGAGGAGGAGAGAGCGAGCCGGTGCCGTGGAGGAGACGCCGTGACCTCACCTCACAGCTGCCAGGACCTGAAGATCAAAGGTCACCTGGTGAGGTTGAATCTCATAATAGTCAGTGCTGTGAGAGCCAATCAGAGGAGTTCTTCAGGTAGAAGATTAAAGTCTTTACCTCAGCCACACCTGAGACACACCTTAACCACACCTGAGACACACATGAGCTAAACACTTGAATCATACCTGAGTCACACCTATGCAACACCAGAGACAGATCTGAGCTACACCTGAGACACACCTGAGACGCACTTGAGCGACTCTTAAGCCACACCTGAGCTACACACCTGAGCCACACCAGAGACGCACCTAAGCTGCACCTGAGGCAAATGTGAGACACACCTTAACCACACCTGAGCCACACCTGAGCTACACGTGAGACACACCTGAGCTACACTTGACTTACACCTGAGCTACACCTGACACAAAACCGAGCTACACCTAAGCTACACTTGACCTACTCCTGAACTACACCTGAACCACACCTGAAATACACCTGAACTACACCTGAACCACACCTGAGCCACACCTGAGCTTCACCTGAGACACACCTGAGAGACACCTGAACCACACCTGAGCTACACCTGAGCCACACCTGAGCTACACCTGAGACACACCTGAACCACACCTAAGCAACACATGAACCACCCCTCAGCCACACCTGAGCAACACTGAGAAGTGAGTGAGTTACCTGAGCTCCACCTGAGCTCCACATGCGTAGTGAGCGAACTACCTGAGCTGTATTCACCTCAGGTAGCAGTAGGTGTCAGTGTGAGGTTCTGTTTATACGTACAGCGCTCAGGTCGCCCGCTCTCTCTGGTCCCGTAGAGCTCCATCCCGTCCTGATCCACGCACCAACACTGCCCCCTGCTGGAGTCACACTGAACAGGCTCAAACTGGCCTGAAGGAGAACAACGCAGAACGGACTGCAGCTGGCAGGGAGACGCACCTGAAAAGGACAGGAAGACAGGTTCAACAGGTTAGGGTTAGGGTCAGGCAGTAGGTGAGGCAGATATCACCTGAGTGATCCAGTTCTCTGTATCAGCTCAGGAGCAGAGGCTGACTTTACATCCCTGAGTTTTGACTTCCAGGTGACACAGATGATTTCAGTTCCAGCTCGTATCTTATTGATTATATATAAATATAGAGTTTCTCTCTAACAGTTCGTCTGCTCCTCCTCCTAAACATCAGACTGGAGCAGAACTGGTAGTCCAAGGCCCTTCAGGATCAGGAACCACACATGGACCCAGCAGCTGTGACCGTTCTGTGATCTAGTTATTGAACAGAGTGTGTGTGTTTAAGTGTGTGTGAAAGTGTGTTTGTGTTCAAGTGTGTGTGTGTTTCTCACAGTGAGGAGTAGAGCCGTTGGTTCGAGTCTCAACCACCTCATGACCTTCAGCGTCCACGCACCAACACTCCTGACTCCGCCCACTGCACTGCACAGGCCTGCACACACACACACGCGCACACACACACACACACACACACACACACACACACACACACACACACACACACACACACACACACAAATGCATACACAAAAATAAACAACTCTGATATATAAAATACTGTATCAATATTTTTGTCTAATAATGATAACAATGATTACAACAAAAACGCTTCTACGACTACTACAACTAATAATATTCATTATAACAGTACAACTGCTACTACTTATCATAAATAATATTACCAATATCAATAATGATGATAATAATAATAGTAATCTATTGTAAGGCTATTGCAATAGTCCAGTCTGGTGGTGATGAAAGTGTGTATTAAGGTTTCGGCAGCAGATTGGGAGAGAAAGGGGCGGAGTCTTGCAATGTTTTTCAGGTGAAGGAAGGCGGAGCGGACAAGTTGGGAGATATGGTGGTCAAAAGTGAGGTTGGGGTCGAGATGGATTCCAAGGTTGCAGACGAGTGATGAGGGGGTGATATGAAAAAATTGTTTGAGAAAATTGTGATGCAACCAGGTTTTTATTGCGTTGAGGCAGGAGGTGACGGTGGCAAGGGTGGTGGAGGAGATGGAGCGGGAGGAGATGTATCGCTGGATGTCATCAGCGTAGCAGTGGAAGTTGAGTCCATGTTCCCAGGTGATATTGCAGAGAGGGAGTAGGTAGAGGGTGAAGAGTAGGGGACCAAGCACGGATGCCTGGGGGATACCTTGGGGGAGTGGGGCGGTGGAGGAGGATCACTGGTTGATATGGATGAAGGTTGGAGAGGTATGATGAGATCCCTGAGAGTGCGGTGCCAGTGATGTGGAGGTCGGATGATAAACGGTTTAGGAGGATGGAGTGGTTGATGGTGTCGAAAGCAGCAGACAGGTCCAGAAGGAGGAGGATGGTTAGCTGGTTAGAGTCAGAGGCGAGCAGGAGGTCACTTGTGATTTTTAGCAGTGCTGTTTCTGTGCTGTGCTTGTTGCGGAATCCTGATTGGAATGGTTCAAGCAGGTTGTTGGATTGGAGGTGGGCTGTGAGTTGTGAGGTGACGGCATGTTCTAAGATCTTTGACAGGAATGGTAGATTGGAAATGGGGCGGAAGTTGGGGTCAAGGCCGGGTTTTTTCAGGATCGGGGTGATGGCGGCCAGTTTGAGGGATGGTGGGACGGAGCCGTAGATGAAGGAGGAGTTGATGATGGATGAGATGAGGGGGGATATGGAAGGGAGACAGTGTTTGATGAAAGTGAATGGGACAGGGTCAAGAATGCAGGTTGGGGTCTTCATGTTTTTTAGGAGAGCAGGAATCAAGGCCACCTTCTTTTGTTTAACCACAGGTTCAAATACAATAAAGTAATTTTAACTCCTGTGACAGAGCGGTGCCCCATCACAACATTTAAACTGATATATCTGAGCATTTTAAGATAAGCAGAAGAAATTAAAGTTAAAACCAGACTAAAAAAGATCAGCCTTGAGATTATGAATACTCTGTGCCGCCCACAGGTCTGCAGGCCTTTCTCAGTTTAGACTTTTAACACCATAACAAAAACCTAAAGGCTCTCACAGGCTCATGTGGTAAAAGAAAATCTGATAAATAAGATTAGAGTTTTAAATAAAGAACCTTAAATCAATTCTAAAAGCTGCTGAAGGCAATGCAGATACTTTAATGTGGGCTCGCTGCCTGGTCTTTGCAGCAGCTGAATATGTAGATGTTGTTTTATGGTAGAAGAAGAGCGTTACAGCCGCCAATACAGCGAGTTATAAAAGCATTATAAACGACTGATTTTAGCACCAGGAAATGTGATGGAGGAGCCATAAAACCACTTTATAGCAAACGTTATAAAGTGGAATTAAACCAACAGAAATCTGCTGCTGATAGTATCATATCATCATTACTGAGAACCTTTCATTTAAAACAGCAGAATGACCCTTAAATGATTTTGATAGTCTGTAAATATGCTGCTCTCACCTGAACCTGCCATCCTCTGTACAGTGAGGGACATCTCCTTGTTGCTTGGCAACAGCCACACCCCTAAGCAGCTCACATTGGCTGAGGGTCTCTGACTCCAGCTGGTACTCTGCACACAGCAAAAGAAAGTTGTGACATCATCAGTGACATCATCAGCAAATTTTTATACTGATCTTATCAATATCATTTTCATTATCAATATCATTATCAATAATATTATCATTATCATTATCAGCATCCTTATGAATATCATTATCAGCATCATTATCAATATCATAATCATTATCAATATCATTATCAATATCAGCATCATTAACAATATCATTATCAATATCATTATCATAATCATTATCAGTATCATTATCAATATCAATATCTGCATCATTATAAATATCATTATCACTATCATTATCACTATCATCATTATCATTATCAATATCAGCATCATTATCAGCATAATTGTAAGAATAGTAATCAATATAATCAGAATTATTATCAGAATTATTATCATTGTCATCATCATCATCTCCAAGCTTGATTAAAATCATATTAAGTGAAAATGTTTGTCTGTACAGAGGAATTGTTCTCAGACTAGAAGGTCATGGACAGGTGGACAGGTGGATAGGTGGACAGGTAGATAGAGGTGGACAGGTGGATAGGTGGACAGGTAGATAGGGGTGGACGGGTGGACAGGAAGATAGAGGTGGAAAGGTGGACAAGTAGATAGGGGTGGACAAGTGGACAGGTGGACAGGTAGATAGAGTTGGATAAAGGTTAGCAGACAGGGATGGGTTCAGGTGGAGGACTCAGGTAGTCTTACCTGAAGCTCTGCCCTGCAGCAGGTGCAGGCAGCAGACCAGGATCCAGGTGATGTGGAGCAGCCAGGCCATGGTCTTTGTGGTGACGGACTCACAGTCTCTGCCTGATTATAAACCTGCAGACCTGCTGAGTCACCATGAGGAGGACAGACACACCTTCATTCCCCGCCTCCTCCTCTTCTCTGTCCATCACACTGGAACCACGAGCCCTCGGTCACAGCTCAGGGGGTGAGCAGCCAGCTGTGGAGCCCTCTGATTGGATGAGAGACACAGATGGTGGGTGTGACATCTGTTCTTTTTCACATCATCTCCCTAGGCTCACCTGAGACGTTCAGCTCACCTGAGCAGCAGGAGAACAAAGTTTACACAGAGCTGAAGAGAGGCAGAGGTTATCAGAGCTGCTGCAGCTGATCTTCAGAGTTCACTTCATGCATAAAAACAAAGTAGAAAAAAAAACAAGAGTCAGAATGACTGGGGGTCTGAGAGTCTGGGGGTCTGAGGGTCTGAAGGTGTGTTTGAGGTGACCACATGTTGGTTTTGATTTGGTCCTGGATCTGGTTTTAAAATGATGTGTATAGAGTGTAAAAATTCAGCAACAGCATGACCTCCCCATCCCCTAAAAGTGAAGCCAAAACACTCCAATCACATCCTGCCAATTCATACTGGAGAGAAACAAAACATATAATAACATACAAATACATATAATAACATATAATAACATACTGTAACAGAACCACTGGCTACACTTCAAATACATTGTAAAAGATCATATATACTTTATAGTAAGTTATATACTATAACACATCATATATACTTTATATATATATATATATATATATATATACTGTAACTAGGGTAAGGTAACATGATAAAAATTAACAGAGTTATGAAAAAATAAAAATGCTGAGTAAGATTATGAACAGTAACATGACTGAGTGTAACATCATGTTACAATGTGAAATGTGCCTTCAATAAATGTAACTTAGTAACATATTAAAATATTACACATCTCTATATGACTCAATGTAAATCATGATGTAAAGTTACCTCGAGTCGTTTAACATAAACTAACATGACTTAAAGTAACACAATGAAACTGTCCTGAAAATCTACAGTGAAGTAACACAATGTAACTGTTCTGTTACTCTAAAGTAAAGTAACACAATGTTACTGTTCTGAAAATCTGAAATAGAGTAACACAGTGTAACTGTTCCGTAACTCTAAAGTAAAGTACCACAATGTAACTGTTCGATTACTCGAAAGTAAAGTAACACAATGTAACTGTTCTGTTAGTCTAAAGTAAAGAAACACAATGTAACTGTTATGTAACTCTTGATTAAAGTAACACAATGTAACTGATATGTTACTCTAGAATTTGGATACACCTGCTGGTGCTACTTGGACACGTCATCAGTGAAGTACCCGGGGTCATAGGGTGTTTCGGGTCTTTAATCTTCATACACCCTCACCCGGGCGACCCAGCCGGGGGTGATCAGTCCCCGACTTGTGTCCAAGTGGCGTGATGTTCCACGGATCCCCCCTACGGATCCACAGCCACCGCGAGGCCCTTTCTGCGGCCTCTAGGATGTTTCTGATGGCTTTCTTCAATCGCAGTCCTTTTACTCCAAGGAGTTTGAGGGTTCTCAGAAGTGATTGGCCAGCGAAGCCTCGGCTCCCGACCTCGACTGGCTCACAGCGGGTTTTCCAGCCATTGTTCCGGCACTCTGTGCTGAGCTCTGCATACTTGGCTCTCTTGCGTTCGTGGGCCTCTTCGATCCTGTCTTCCCAGGGGACTGTTAGTTCCAGGATAACTACTTGTTTTGTGGACTCCGATGTTAGTACCACATCTGGGCGGAGAGAAGTAGTTGTGATGTTGGCTGGGAACTTAAGCTGTCTTCCGAGGTCGACTTGAAGCTGCCAATCACGAGCGGTGGTAAGGAGCCCCCCTGTAGAGTTGGGATGGTGATGTTGTGCCTTCTGCCCTGCTCTAATGAATGTGATTGCCTGTTTGGGGGCTGCCTGGGTCTTGCTGTGCTGGATCGCTGTGCTGATGGTTTCTGCCAAAGCTTTTAGGACTTGGTCATGGCGCCAGCGGTACCGCCCCTCTCCTAGCGCTTTAGGGCAGCAGCTTAAGATGTGCTCCAGGGTGCCCCTCTTCTGGCACAGTTTGCACTCGGGAGTGTCTACCAGTCCCCAGATGTGTAGGTTGGCCGGGCTGGGGAGGACGTCATACACTGACCGGATGAGAAACTTGGTGCGAGATGGTTCTGCTTTCCAGAGCTCTGCCCAGGTGATTCTGCGGGAATCAGCCTGTTCCCACCTGGTCCATGCTCCTTGTTTGGACATGCCAGCGATCTTACTGCTGCGTTCTTCCTCCACCTCTGCACGTATCTCGTCCTGGATCAGTCGGCGCTTCTCCTCTCCACAGGCCAGATCATAACGCGGCTTAGGAAAGGAACCAAGACCTGCTCGTCCCGTTGCCACAGAGCCCACCAGCACTTTGTGCCTCAGTCGCAACTCGGCTCTAGTGACGGCTTCTTGTGCCCGCCACTTCCTCCCGGTTTTCACGAGGATTCCTGCTGCTGCGACTTTGGTGTCTGCGGAGTCCCTGTACATCATCACCTCTCTGGAACGGGTGACTTTAAATTCCTCTGTTAGTCCACTAAAGGGAAGGTGCAGCTTGTTGGAATGGCCGTACAGGGCGATGCTGCTTAAGGACCGAGGGAGCCCCAGCCATCTCCTGAGAAACTGGCTGATGGACTTCTCTAGAGCCTCTACCGTTGATATGGGTACTTCGTAGACTAACAGGGGCCAGAGTATTCTTGGCAGGACTCCATGCTGGTAGATCCAGGCTTTGAATTTTCCAGGGAGGCCAGATTTGTCAACCGCTGTGAGCCAGGTGGACAGCTCACTCTTGGTTTGCTGTATGGCAGCTGAGTCCTTCAGGGAGCTGTCGAAGATCTTGCCCAGACTCTTGACCGGTTTCTCGGTCACTGATGGGATCCTGGTCTCTCCCAGGGCAAAGCGGAACTGGTCGGACACTTTGCCCTTTTTCAGGACCAGGGACCTGGACTTAGCGGGCTTGAAGCTCATCCTTGCCCAGGAGATGAGCCTTTCAAGCCCCTGCAGAAGCCACCTGCACCCTGGAACAGATGTTGTTGTCACCGTTAAGTCATCCATAAAGGCTCTTATGGGGGGCTGCCGAGTCCCAGATCTTGATTTGGGCCCTCTGCATTCCACTTCGGCAGACTTAACGATCCAGTTCATGGCCAGTGAGAAGAGGGTTACCGATATGGTGCAACCGGTGATTATCCCTTTCTCGAGGCGATGCCAGGCAGATGTTACTTGGCCTGAAGTGACTCGTGAGCTAAAGTTGTCGTAATAGTCCATGATGAGTTTGCGGATTTTGTCTGGAACATGGTGTCTTCCCAGTGTGGTTTCGACAAGCTTGTGTGGGATAGATCCGTAAGCGTTGGCCAAATCAAGCCAGAGAGTTGCCAGGTCTCCTTTGCTCTCTCTTGCCTCCCGGATCAGCTGCGTCACCACACCCGTGTGTTCCATGCATCCAGGCATTCCTGGGACTCCTCCCTTCTGGACTGAGGTATCGATGTAGGTGTTCTTCAGGAGGAAGTTTGTCAGACGCTGGGACACGATCTTGAAAAAGATCTTGCTCTCGACACTGAGCAGCGAGATGATGCGAAACTGCTCAATTTTGCAAGAGCCCTCCTCCTTCGGGATCCAGACTCCCTCAGCATACCTCCATTGTGCAGCGACCTTTCCTCTCCGCCAGATCACCCTCAGGATCTTCCAGAGACGTTTGCGGAGCTGAGGGCACTGTTTGTAAACTTTGTAGGGAACACCGCTGGGGCCAGGAGCAGAACTGGATCTCGCAGCTCTGACAGCTTCCTCTACCTCCTTCAAAGTGGGCTCATCGCTGTTGAATTGGGTCCCTGGTTTTGGTGGTTCCACCAGTTCCCTACAAGGTCCGAGCTCGTGGTCCCTCATGGCGTCACTGAAGGTGGCGTGGAGATGATGGTCGATCTCCTCTACAGGGCAAGCGAGGTGGCCGCTTCGCTTCTGGCCCAGTAGTTTCTTGGTAAAGCCGAAGGGATTGCTGATGAAGGCGTTGCGTTTCCGAGCCCTTTCCTTCCCTTTCCTTCGGTGCCATTCTGCCCTCCTCAGCGAGATGAGTCTCCTCCTTATGATGTTTGTCAGTTCTGTCAGGGCACTTCTTTCGTCTTCCTTGGCCGTCTTGAACTGACGTCTCAGGGATTTTAGCTCTTGTCTCAGCTGATTTTGGATTCTCGCCGGTTTAGCTTTGCTGGATTATTTGCGCTGCGTTTTTCAATGATTCCAAACCGCTCTGCTCCCATGTTCATTATGATGGTACACATGGTTTGGAGCTTCTGGTCGACACTGCCCTTAGAGATGGATTCCAGGCACTTGTCGACATCCTCATCCAGCTTTGACCACTCCTTGTTGTTGGCGGCGGGCCACATTACCCTACGGTGTTCCGATTTCCTGCTTGATGGGGGGACTTGTGTTGCTTGGGGGTTCCAGGTACTGTGGGGAGATGGGTTAACCCTAACCCTAACCCTAAAGTAAAGTAACACAATCTAACTGTTCTGTAACTCTAAGGGAAAGTAACACAATGTAACTGTTCTGTAACTCTAAAGTAAAGTAACACAATGTAACTGTTATATGCTTTCAAGTAAAGTAACACAATGCAACTATTCTGTAACTTTGATGAAAGGAACACAATACCAAACACAAGAACAACACTGTTGCCACAACTGTGCCTGAACATTGTTGACATCAATATTTTTACTATTTATGATATCTTTATTTACTTTTTAGGCATTAGGGCCACATGCACTTTATATTCTGAGTATTGTGCATTTAAAAATGCATTTATATTTACTGTGCAATCGTGCAATCTGCAATATAATTACGCACCTAACACTTTAACACTTCAGCACTCTGCACTTTAATCAGCCCTTTGATAGCTAATTTTAGCATTTTAATGCGAGTGAAATACATATGGTCCCCTGACTCTTGGCCTATATGTTTCA